TGCGGTGGTGTAAAGCACGCCGCCACTGGACTCTAGAGCAGTGGAGACGCGTTCTCTGGAGTGACGAATCACGCTTCTCCATCTGGCAATCTGATGGACGGGTCTGGGTTTGGCGGTTGCCAGGAGAACGGTACTTGTCTGACTGCATTGTGCCAAGTGTAAAGTTTGGTGGAGGGGGGATTATGGTGTGGGGTTGTTTTTCAGGAGCTGGGCTTGGCCCCTTAGTTCCAGTGAAAGGAACTCTGAATGCTTCAGCATACCAAGACATTTTGGACAATTCCATGCTCCCAACTTTGTGGGAACAGTTTGGAGCTGGCCCCTTCCTCTTCCAACATGACTGTGCACCAGTGCACAAAGCAAGGTCCATAAAGACATGGATGACAGAGTCTGGTGTGGATGAACTTGACTGGCCTGCACAGAGTCCTGACCTCAACCCGATAGAACACCTTTGGGATGAATTAGAGCGGAGACTGAGAGCCAGGCCTTCTCGTCCAACATCAGTGTGCGACCTCACAAATGCGCTTCTGGAAGAATGGTCAAAAATTCCCATAAACACACTCCTAAACCTTGTGGACAGCCTTCCCAGAAGAGTTGAAGCTGTTCTAGCTGCAAAGGGTGGACCGACGTCATATTGAACCCTATGGATTAGGAACGGGATGTCACTTAAGCTCATATGTGAGTCAAGGCAGGTGAGCAAATACTTTTGGCAATATAGTGTATATATATATATATATTCTATCTTATTTTGTTTTTTGTCTGCACCAACAACACCAAGTCAAATTCCTTGTAAGTGCAAACTTACAAGGAGTCTCTCTCCTCAGACCAACCAGAAAGTTCAGCTGACTTCCTGCAGTTCTCTGCTTACAGATTCTTGTTGCCTTGTAATTAAATTGTTAAAACCAACTGGTTCTCTGTGTGATTGATTCTGCATGTGGGTCAAAAACTACAAACCATGACAGAAAGAAACCCTAAACATTTAAATTTTCCTGGTTGCAAGCTGAGATGATAATGATAAATATAAGATTTATAGATTTACTGACAGTAATCAAGGTTATCGAGAATATTTGCTATTAGAAAATGATGATAGAACTCTGTTGTGGCGCAGAACGCACAAAGTAAGACATTCAAAACACATACAAAAAATCTGTCCTTAGACGACATACTACTTAACATGTACTTAACAATATTAAACACCCTCAGAGGAAAAACATAAACATTTTACTTATCAAACACCCTTTATTAAATTTTTTTCGTTCGTTGTCTTCCGCGTTATCAGGGGCCGGGTCGTTGCAGCAGCAGTCAAAAGCAGAGACACACAGATTTTCCTCTCCCTAGACATCTCAGACTTAGACTCTATTTATCCCTTGGGATTACTCCTTTAGGGAAATTCTGGTTCCAGTAGCTTATATAGAATACAAAGGGCAGAGTTAAATCAAGATGCCATTAACGATAAGAATACAACAGACAACATAAAAACAGTGTATATAGTACAAAAGAGCATAAAAAAGTTGTAATGTCCTGGAATATGTTTCCTTTAGATATAAAAAATATCTGCACCATAAAGAGCTAAGGAAAGACTACACAGTAGTTGACTTGGCTTATTGCCCTTGCATTATTGAAAAGTACTGACCATATAAAAAAAGGTAAAAAAATTATACAGATTACACAGTAGTTATTGCACATGTACTGCAGAGATGTACTGACCTTATAAATACGTGAAATATTACACACAGTACACAGTAGTTGGCATGTGTCATTGCACAGTGAGAGAGAAGAATATTGCACGAGTGACAGCAGGTAATGTTTTTGCACAAGACCTCCAAGGTGTGTGCTGACCCTTGTCCCTCTTCTTATCACCCCCTCCTTCCCCCAAGTGACGAGTTGTACAGCTTGATACCTTTAAGAACAAAGGAGTTTAGCAGTCTGTTGGTCCTGCGTTTGGGGAGAAGCAATCTCCCACTGATCAGGCTCCTCTGAGTGGTGAAGACAGTGTGCGTAAATCTCCAGCTCCATTCTGTCCTCACTTGTAAACAGGACCCCAAGGTACTTTGACTCCTCAATTTGAGACAGAATATCTCCTCCAACTTGAAGGGGACAAGCCTCGTTTTCTTCCGGTTGAGTGTCATGGCTTTGGATTTGGAGGAGCTGATTCTCATCCAGGCTGCTTCACAGGACCGGGGACTGAAGGCAGCCCTGTTGGAGTCCAACATGAACCAGGAAAAGGTCTGACTTAATGTGGACCAAACTCCTGCTCCGCATGTACAGAGACCAGATGGTCCCTAGTAAAGCGCCCCAAACTCAAAATTTCTGAAAACATCCCAAACAAGGCATCCTTTAATCTTTAAAAGAAAAAAGAAAAACATTTTATTAAAGATATAAGCTTGTGCTGGTGCAGTGGAGTAGGTGTTGGTGGGATGTAGGTATGCCAGTGAGAAGTGAGATGAGGTTCCATAAGGCAGACAACATTCAGTTTGCCTTTTTAAATTATGAAATGACCTGATCTCCCTGAAACATTTTAACAGGTTTGAACAAGAAATGGCAAGTTGGTAAAATAATGCTTTTCAATATTGTAAATGTCAAACAAATGATTGGTATACATAAAATATTAGCCTTTCACGTCCTAGATCAGGGGTATCCAAAGTGAGACTATTAGGGCCCTCGGAATAATATTTATGTTGCAAGGGATCCTACACAAACTCATAGGATTGGTATAAGATTAATGTAAGAACTGTTTGTTCATGGGTCAACCTCCTGATTGCCTTTCTTGACTCTATCCCCAAGCATGTCAAATTTTAGGTCGCCCACCATAGTCCGACCACCTACAGTAAATTGTTTACGTTGTTCTTCTAGCTCTTCTACTCAAGCCCCCTTCACTTGCTTCACACATATAGTTCCAAAGTCCCCTCCACCTACCTGGGTTTGGTCGGTTTTATTTATGTTTTTTTCCCCCTGGACTCTATTTGGGTGTCTGGTGTCACTGTGCCGAGTGTTTTTCAGCTAACTTTCTTGTAATAACTTTGGTGTTCTAGTCACTCTATTACTCAATCACTCTTTGTGTATTATTGACTAGACCCTGCTAGTGTCTTCCTTCTATTCCACTCTGTTTGCCACTGTTGTATCATTTTCACTTAGCCAGAACCATGAGCTATAAGCAGATTTCCTTCATGTCCCTTCTCATTTTACACATTGCTTTCACCTGTTTCCCCGTTATTTAAGCCTTTAGTCTGTTTTCAGTCTTCAATAGATGATCTGTTTTGTCTCCATTCTCTTCATTTGTAAACTTATTTTATAGAATTTTCAACTCCTTGTTCTTCTTTCTAGTGCCATTTGCACTTTGGTCTTCAATATCTTACAAATTTTTTATATGTTCTCAGTCTCAAAGCTGATTATATTTATACCTACAGAAAAGAAAAGAAGTGGAAATATGTTCCAGTATATTTATAATGTAACTCTGGGTACCAAGATGTATTAGCTTTTAATAGTATGTTCATCATCTTATTCTGTGTAGAATTGTTTGCATCAAGACCATCATGTTTGCACCTCTAGTATTATTTTATAGGAGGCCCAAATCAAAACAAGATAATGTACTGTAGATCATTTACATGAAAGACCTTACAGTATATGATACTGGATGCTGTTCCTGCTGCAGCTGGACTTAATCCAGCAGTTAAAAGATGCAGACACACCATGAAGTCATTGTTTCAAGCTGTCAATAACAAACTACAGTTAACTTACATTAAACCTCCTCAGGCATTTCAAAAAGGACCTTAGGTTTGCGCTACAGAGCTTTTTATCCGACAGCAACTCTTACATGGAAATAGTTTCTTTACCCAGGCCGTCCCTCTGATAAACGCAATGGATAAGGATAGTCAGCTACCATGCTGTAAAAAAATGGCTTATCTCCTTAAAAAAAGACAGAAGATAGGCTAAACATGGTCATCTGTACATGCTTTACTTATCCCTACTAATAATTTTTATACTGTGTTTGATTTTACATCAATTATTGTTTGTGCTTGTGATTATGCGAGTGAGGGAATACAAGGTCAAATTCATTTTTTTGTGTTAATTCTGATTCTATTCAATGCTTTGAAATAATTTTCAGTCTAATAGGTGTTTATTGCATTCTTTAACAACTACTACTACACATATTATAATGGCAGTAATATATTTTGTGAGTTACTTCTTTTTTTTCTGTCTAAAAACAAAGTAAATTATTTTATGTTAACAGTATCCATCCATCCATCCATCCATGTAATTTTTAAATCACAGTTGACATACTTTGAAAATCTTTAACTGGCCATGCTTATTTGAACTATTAATTGCTGATCCAACCTGTAACTATCATTCTACAAATATAGACTTTATTAATATGAATCACATTTAAGTCAAATAACACATTTATCATATAGTTATAAAGTATTTAGGTAGAATTTGAATAAAGTAGTTCATTTTAATAGAATTTAACCATTAGCAAAGTAAACTCCTGAGCCTATTTTGATAATTGGATAGTTATGAAAGTAATTTCTCATACTTTTTTTTTTTTTTTTTTTTTACATTCGATAAAAAAACAAACAAACAGAAAAGCATTGAGATTTAGTAAAACAGCAGCCTGATAAAAGTCTAATCACAGCTCTCCTTATTGTTCAGGGAAAATCTGAGAGGGTCACATCCACAATAATTACAATGCTGGAAGAGATGTAGTCTACATCGCCATCTAGTGGTGTGGGAAGATACTGTATGTAAGCGCCATAAAACACTGACTACAAGGTTCCTGCTCTTACTTTTTAACTTATTGTGGTACTCATAAAAGGTTTGCATTCTATTGATTAAAAGGCTGAAATGTAAGATTTCTTGTGTGCATCATGTTTTAAATGAAAAAATATTTAATAAAGTTATCTTTTTGTAGCTGTTGAAGGAAAACCTCTAGGGGAGGTATCTTTCATTAAAATAGCTTGTAGTGAGCTGTTCTCTACACTTCCTCATTGGTGTCTAAGTAAAACAAAAGACACTGTGTAATGGTTAACTCACTAAGCTTTGCTCTGAGCTCAGATTACCTGAGAGGAAAGTGGGTGAATGTGACCTTAACAGGCCGTCTGTCCTTTTTTCCTTTCTTCAGGTTTTTGCTTCTTACTGTACTTCTTACTGTACTGTACCTCCCAATGCTCTGATATCATGGAATTTTTTTTTGTTGATTTTGTTTTTTTAAAAACCAGTCTGGCAGCTTTGGAAAATTGAAAGCTAAGGGACTTTTTTTTCATTAACTGAAAGCAAAACTTAAGCTCTTACCTGAGCTGTCTTCCACAGGTAAGGTAACGCTGTTTTTCTGCTTCTTGTCCTTTGGACAGATTAGGATTTATTTACGCTTAAAGGTGAGCTCAGATTATAATCCAGATGTATTGCATACTTCTCCTTAGCCTTGTTATTCATGCTGTTCTTTTGTCTTGTTTTGTCTCCAGCATATTACTTTGTTATAGTTTTCATTAGTGGTAAGATTCAATCAACATTAATTACTTTATTTTGTTGGAAAAAATACTAAAATGTGTTTATTATTGATTTCTGAAGAATGTATTTGAGTGAGCTGTGATTATTCGTGATGTTTGCTTTAGGAACTGCTATAGTATGATATGGTTTGGTTTTTTATTAGCATTTTCATAGTACCATGTTTCTTACTTATATACACACATATAGTTTTTATTATGAAAAAACGAGAAACTCTGTCAGTTGAATTAATGCTTGTTTTATGCTCTATAGCTTCTGTACATGTTATTGTGGCTTTGAGTTGAAATCCTCTGCTTTATGCATAAATTAACAGAGGGGAAAGCTAATACGATGCAGAACAGATGTAAAGTGAAAGTAAAAATGAGATGCACCAAACAGAACCCATTGTGATTTTATCTGACCCAGTGATGTATATATTAACTAAAATATAACAGTTAAATAGTCTGAGTAAATTAAATTGTCTTTAGAATTGAACGGTTTAAGAAAAAATTATGCTAGATTCTGTCCCTGTCTTAATCAGAGAAATCTAACAGATTAAAGGGAAACCCTCAGTTTGTTATTAAGCATTAAATTTTCCAGACCCCCCCCCCCAACACACACACACACACACACACACACACACACACACACACACACACACACACACACACACACACACACACACACACACACACACACACACACACACACACACACACACACACACACACACACACACACACCAGCAACACAGAGCATCTTTCTGTTGCAATCAATTAATTTGCAAAGGTGACACCAAACCATGTGTTTAGGAGAGAGCTGCCAAACACTTGTTAAGCTTTTAATTTCACTTTACTTTTTTCTAAACAGAAACAATTATGACAGAATGTTAATTATAGTTTTCACTAACATAATTAGTTGAGTAAAAAGTTAGATTTTCAAATATAGCTAAAATTTCTATCCATTGTCACAAATATGTAATTTTATTATTAAAATTGTCTTTCTTTAAAAGAATAAAACTGAGCAACTTAATATGATCAACTGGATCTTTTCTGCTGACTTCTAGCTCTGTATTATAGCTCTCTTTGTCAGTACCTTATATATCTGTATCTATTTAGAAGCATATTACACCTTTTCCATTCTTAAATCTTTATTAATAAAGAATATTTCTGCTGCTGAAAATGAAATTCGTGTTCTTACTAAATTATTTAAATGACCCCCTCAAAGAGTGTTTATGAGACCTGATATAGATGTGCTGGTTGGTACAGATTTCTGCTGTGATCGATCAATCAATCAATTCATCAATCTGAATTCGAAGCCAAATCTGAATTCAGCAAATATTGCATTCATAACAGGAACTACAATAAAAAAAAAACAAAAAAAAACTTTGGATTTCTAATTACCTTTATTTCTAAATCTTGAGAAACATATTTTGCTATCTTAAGCATTGCAAACTTAATAAGGAAATTTTTAAATTACACTGAGCTAACAATTAAGGCAAAGTTGAAAATGGTTAGGAAAGTTAAATATAGTTAGAAACTATAAATGAAGATCACCTTTTAGGTAAAAAAAAACAAACATATACACTCCCAAACTAAAGCTGATCAGGCTTAAAAACAATCAAGTTTGCAAATGACCTACTTTCTAAGTAAATGTCTATGAAAAAAAAAATACTAAAAGAAATATAAACGCTGAATATAATTTTATGTTTTAGAACTTTAACCTTACTTACCATACCTGAAACATTAATGATTTACTCTCCGTTGGTAACTATATAAATAAACTGTAAAAAATAATCAAATCTTTTATCATAGCTCATTGCTGGCAGACTGGTTACTGGAGTTGGAAAAAAAGTCCAGAGGAAAATCCATCAGTGCGGCAATAACTAACTGTGACGACCAAGAAGGATTGGATGAAAGGTAAGACGTCAGAAAAGTCTCTATCTTATGTTTAGAATTTTTGTTTTGGCATGTCTCTCCTATGGTAGCTTGTTGTCAGAACAGCGCAGATGTGTTATGAGTAAACAAAGCATGTCTCAAGCTGCTAACTACAGTCACAAGGGCCAATAACACAGCAAATCCACTGAGGAGGAGCACAGTGGGACTGACTTTCCTTTTTTTCTATGGATTTTTAAGTTTCTGACATTTCCTCCTGGCAATTTTATTCTTCAGGGTCAGAGTGCTCCCAAGTTATGGATAAGTCCAGCGATAACCCAGAGGAGGACAGAGTATCCCTTAGGAGCAACGGGAAGATGCCAGCAAATGGAATGGCGAAAGAGGTTCTGGGTGCATTCCAGTCGTTCAGGCAAAGCATTAGACGTCCTTCGGAAAAGAGTCCCTTTTCACCGAAAAGCAAGGACTTAAAGGTCACATCCAGTGTGCAGGCACAAGTCAGTGTGTCAGAGTCTTCCTTTTCTTCACCACCAACATCACCCAGTGAGTATATTCAGTCAGTCATGAACTCTGCTCTGATGTGATGTTTTAAAACAGGGCCCTTTGGCAACATTTAATTATTTAGTTTATCCTATTTTTAACTTACACACCAGGTTTCACAAATTTACACTTGTACCGGTAGCTGTTTTTTTTTTTTTTTTACACTAGGGGATATTCACAAACAAATTTCCAACAAAACCCATTGTCAAAGGTTGTTGAAAACTTTTTCTGCTGATGTTTGTACCGTAAATAAGATGATATGTGGGAACTTGGGAACCAAAGCATAACCTGGCTGTGGCCAAAATGATAGGGTGACAAAGGGACTATTCTGCTTCATTCTCATCAACATTATAAAGCAAAAATAACTACTATAAAGCAAAAATAACTACTATAAATCAAAAATAACTATTTGTTTATTTATTTTATTTTATTTTTTGTCATATTAGAACCACAACATTCAATAAGATTAAATTAGATAGAACTTTATTGAGAAATTCACTTTTGACATTGGCTTTTATTAACAACAGAAGGTGCATAAAGGAGGAAAGGTTGCATGAATTATAAACTGTGCATCCAGTTATATACAATAGAGGGTAAAAAAATAAAGGATAGATTGAAGGTGACTTACAGTAAGGATTTAAGGTATGCACAATAATGTGGTGGCAGGTAAAAAATAAAATAAAATAAAATAAAAAATAAATAAATAAATAAATAAAATAAGTAAGGTGCCTAAGGTTCAAAAAGATGGATCTGCAGCTGTAAATGGGGGTAAATAAAGAAGCACATAAAACTTTTTTGATTTTATCTTCAAGAAAAATAAGGAAAATCATGTATTATTTTCCTTCCGCTTCATTTGGAGATTGCAATATTGGGAAATGTGAAAAAATTGTAAAGGCTCTAAATGTTTATGCAAATATTTCATGCAAAAATGGCAAAATCTGAAACAAATATTTTGAAATTGTAAATAAATTACATTCTTTTAATAATCTAATAAAGTGATACTGGCATAGTTGAGATGAAATATATATTGCCCCTGACCATTCACTGAAGTATGGATAGTAGAACAGTACATTCAGCAAATTGACTGGCTATACAATACTTGGAAAATAAAGTTTAAATGGAAACTTGTGAAGACAGCGGTTCATAGATCAAAATAGTCTGATTTTCTGCAGAAGTTGGTCCTGAGAAACTTTAGCAGTAACATAGAACAGGAAAATCTCTAAGAAAAGGTCAAACCTTGTTGCATAAATAGAACCTATTTGTCACATCAACATATCATCTCAGACAAAGGGCCTCTACTAAAACAGAATTACAAGAGAGTGACAATGGTTTCTTCTACTATCCAGAATGATAGCACATCTTCATCCCTAAAAAAGTAACTGCCAGCCTGCCAGTGAATTTTTTTCAATGTTTATTAAATCCTTCAACAACTAAACATACAGTGAAATCGATGCTGATAATATCAGGATGGTAAAGTATACAACAGTAAAGTAATTATACAGAGAAGGACTTCAGTTTTAACATTTTACCCCCTGAGCCCCTCCTAATCCTCCCATAGTCCCCCCACCCCATCCAGCAGAAGGAGCTAATGTGAAAAAAGATAAAGTAAAAAAAAAACAAAACAAAAAAAAAACACATATTTTTATTCTGGACCGATATTGTTTGAGTCTTTCCTCTATGGTTTTAAGAATGGTTCCCACATACTCTGATATACCTCAATCTGACTTTTTATCTTATCTGCTGTTAAGTTTTGAATTCATAAGGTTTGAAATTTCCTTTAGACATTCCCCTGCCAAGGGGAATTTACATCAATAAGCAGAACTGGTGAACACTGAAAAAAAACAAAACAAAAAAAAAACATCAGCAGTTTGTCACCATAAGTCTGTCCTCACAAACCTAAAAACCTTGTATTTTCCAAAATGATAATCACTTTAGCGAGTCTGTTAATGCACACTGTCTAAAAGGCTTTGCTTCTTGGGAGCGGGCAAAGGTTTGTGCATGTGCAAATAATTTTTAAGCGGAGAGGGCGGTCTTTTCGAAAATCCTCCATTTTACCTTTACTCCTGATTTCATCCTACCTTAACGAAACAAAGCATTTAAATCTGAACAAGTTGATGGGTAGCATTCACAACATAAGTAATTACACATGTTTATCTATTTTTAGCAATAGGTAAGGCTGCGCCAAGCCTTATTCTGTATGTGTTTTGTAAGTTGCTGCGTTATCTGATTTTCACATTTTAAAAAGCATAAGGCCTTTCCTGTAACCCAGTGACCAAATTCATCCTGGTGTCTGTTTCATTTACCAAGAGTCATGTGATTCTGTGTAAATATTTATTACCAACAAACATGTTGTGCAAAGTCCCATGGACAAACCTGCTGCCTTATTCATTCACTAAGCAGCCTGTTGTGCTTTCAACCTGATTTAGTCTGCATTTCTCTGCCACGTCATCAGCAGAAAGCCCAATCACTCACAGACACAAAGTAAATTCCCATGACTGGTTTATTAGAGGTAAACCTGCTGACACATTACTGAACACAGGATATTTACTGAATTTATTCATATACTATTACTTTCCCACCAGGTCTTAGTGCTGGCTCTCCAGCAACGACACCCTTTAAGGCCATTGGGGGTTCCTGTCAGAAAAATGATGAAGATCAGCCGGACATCGTAACACGAAAAAAAAAGCCGATAACTCGTTCAAAGTCAGGTATGTTGGTCAATGATAAAACCAGTTTGTTTTCTTTTTCCCTGTTCATTCACTACTGTTTTTCTGTCAACAAGAAATATGACTAGACATGTTTATGTGGGGTTTGGAACCTTGGAACTATCAACAGCATGTGTTAATATAAATAGAGTTTAGCAGCTAACCTGAGACATAAACATGAGCTGGAGCTTAATCCTGATATCCTTTCGTACATATTGGCTCTCCTTTATTGAACTCAGGATGATCTGATGATCAAATTATGTGCATAATCTGAAACATTCAAGTGGGACAAAAAAGCAAAAACAAACAAAAAAAATAATAATGAAATTTGTAGAAGGACCATTATCTATTTTGCAGTCATAAATTAAGTAGGTCATAAGGATGATTAAATAATTTATAAAATGTAATTGTTAAACTCCAGCAACACCAAGCGGCTTCATGGAAACCAAGGTTCCTTAACAACAGTTAGAAGCAATCTACATCCCAACGAGCTGTTTGTCATTTATTGACCAAATGGACTTTAAATTCCCCACTTTATAAATATACTTAATATAATACATAGCCTGGTCTTCTCGGTGCACAACTCTCCTATCTCAATGGTTCTGGTGTTTGTAAGACCCAAAGATTGTATTTAAGTAAGAGTAGCTCTACTTTTTACTCAAGTTGAGCTTAAGAGTAGCCATTAAATAAATTTAGTAAGAATAAATCACTAAATCACGGCTTAACAAGTACAGAGTAATTTTTAGATCATAAAATGTGATTTGTGTTTATAAATAATGCATATTGCACTTCATGTGCAAGCTCTGGTGTTTTAAAAACTAAAATATATAAATCATAAAAAAAGCATAATTACAAAAATCCATTAAAACTTTTTTTTATTTTGTATTTTTTTCAACATAAAATTTATGTAATTAGTTTGTACAGACAGAAGTAAAGAAATATGTTAGGGCAGGCGCAATATCCCCTATCGACAATTTCTACTGTTAATCCTATATAAAACTGATCTTTGAATAGTTGAAGTTACTCACAGTATGCAGAGTAGCCAGGCATTTTACTCAGGTAGGAGTAGTGATACTTGAAAAGAATATTACCCATGAATATATATATATATATAAACTTTCGAATGGTACTGTATATATATATATATATATATATATATATATATATATATATATATATATATATATATATATATATATATATATATATATGGATGCACGATATTGGGATTTTGGCCGATATCCGATATGCCGATATTTTAAAACTCATGTAGCCGATAACCGATATCGATGCTGATGTTAAAGCTGGACAAAAATAAGTAGTCATTGAAAATAGCAGTTTTGCACCATACTTTTCAATAAAGATAACTTTAAAACTAGTCTCAACTTTAAAGAAATACACTCTATACATTGCTAACGTGGTAAATGACTATTCTAGTTGCAAATGTCTGGTTTTTGGAGCAATATCTACATAGGTGTATAGAGGCCCTTTTCCAGCAACTATCACTCCAGTGTTCTAATGGTACAATGTGTTTGCTCATTGGCTCAGAAGGCTAATTGATGATTAGAAAATCCTTGTACAATTATGTTCAAACATCTGAGAACAGTTTAGCTCGTTACAGAAGCTACAAAACTGACCTTCCTTTGAGCAGATTGAGTTTCTGGAGCATCACATTTGTGGGGTCAATTAAACGCTCAAAATGGCCAGAAAAAGAGAACTTTCATCTGAAACTCGACAGTATTCTTGTTCTTAGAAATTAAGGCTATTCCATGCGAGAAATTGCTAAGAAATGGAAGATTTCCTACAACGGTGTGTACTACTCCCTTCAGAGGACAGCTAAAAACAGGCTCTAACCGGAGTAGAAAAAGAAGTGGGAGGCCGCGTTGCACAGCTGAGCAAGAAGATAAGTACATTAGAGTCTCTAGTTTGAGAAACAGACGCTTCACAGGTCCCCAACTGGCATCTTCATTAAATAGTATTCAGGGCAGAGTGGCCAGAAAAAGCCATATCTGAGACTGGCCAATAAAAGAAAAAGATTACGATGGGCAAAAGAACATAGACATTGGACAGAGGAAGACTGGAAAAAAGTGTTTTGGACAGATAAATCCAAGTTTGAGGTGTTTGGATCACAAAGAAGAACGTTTGTGAGACGCAGAACAAATGAAAAGATGCTGGAAGAATGCCTGACGCCATCTGTTAAGCATGGTGGAGGTAATGTGATGGTCTGGGGTTGCTTTGGTGCTGATAAGGTGGGAGATTTTTTCAGGGTAAAAGGGATTCTGAATAAGGAAGGCTATCACTCCATTTTGCAACAACATGCCATACACAGTGGACAGCGCTTGATTGGAGCCAATTTCATCCTACAACAGGACATTGGCCCTAAACACACCTCCAAATTGTGCAAGAACTACTTAGAGCAGAAGCAGGCAGCTGGTATTCTATTGGTAATGGAGTGGCCAGCGCAGTCACCAGATCTGAAGCCCATTGAGCTGTTGTGGGAGCAGCTTGACCATATGGTACGCAAGAAGTGCCCATCCAACCAATCCAACTTGTGGGAGCTGCTTCTGGAAGGTGGGGTGCAGTTTCTCCAGATTACCTCAACAAAGAATGCTAGAATGCCAAAGGTCTGCAATGCTGTAATTGCTGCAAATGGATGATTCTTTGACGAAAACAAAGTTTGATGTAAAAAATTTTTTTTATTTCAAATACAAATCATTATTTCTAAGCTTGTCAATGTCTTGACTCTATTTTCTATTCATTTCACAACGTATGGTGGTGAATAAGCGTGACTTTTCAGGAAAACACAAAATTGTTTGGGTGACCCCAAACGTTTTAAAGGTAGTATATATATATATATATATATATATATATATATATATATATATATATATATATATATATATATATTTTTTTTTTTTTTTTTTATGAAGTAAATTTATCCAATTAAATAGTTACTAAAAACCTCTGCTTGACAGAGAGAGACAGCTGAAAATGATCAAGCAGATCACTGTAATATATTTATTAGTCATCTTGTTATTTGCCGACATTCTAACGCTCTCACTGTCTTTCATTCTGAATAAACTCCAGAATAAACTGCAAGTCATTAAAAATACTTATTTAGTTTTTACTACTTCTTATGCTGGTGAAGCTTCTCAGTCATCCAGGTCATACTCTTTCCAATAAAAGTTAAAAAACAAAACCACTGGACCTTATTTCCAAGTTTAAAGACGTTTCGCTTCCCATCCAGAAAGCTTTCTCAAATCAAAATCTCTCACTACTCGGCGCTACTCCAGACATTTTGAATTGAGAAAGCTTTCTGGATGGGAAGTGAAACGTCTTTAAACTTGAAAATAAAGTCAAGAGGTTTTGTATTTTTAACTTTTTTTTCCCGAAATAATATTTCTTACAGCTTTTTGCCTCTCTCACCTCGGTCTGCACACTTTACAGACATTGAAAGAGCTTTCTGAGTCTACTGCACAGTAACAGCAACCGCTTTGCAATAGCGCTTATGTGTGATGCATTCACTGCCAATAGATTTTTGCTGCTTTATCAAAGTTCCTTGCTTTCATTCTCAGATACCAACACGTCTAAGCTGGGTGACTCCCTTATGAAAAAAGGAGCCTCCATTCGAAGAAGTCTGAGATTTAGCTCGAAGAAGGAAACTGATAAAACAGGGAGAAAGGACTCTGCTGTCTCCGAGGCCCTGCCAGAGATTATGGATGACAAGGAAGCTGAGGAGGAGGAGTTGTCGGAGGTTGATGAATTGTACTCACTACCTGAAATACCTCACACTCCGCTCTCAGGTATACAACCCTGCATGATAGTTCATGCCTTCTTGAACCATTAACTTGTTTTTTTTTGTGTGTGTGGTTCTTTTCTTCTGTAGCTGAAGCAAGCAACTAATGGAGAGATTTTCTATTTTTAAAAATGCTACATCTAGAAAGGAAATGTATTGTTTTCCATCTATTTAGATACTAAAAAACTTTTTTGTCAGAGGAGTGTTTTAAAAGTCAGAACACTCTGCTTAGGGGAAGGTCTTAGAAAGGTGCAGCTGAGTCACTTAAAAGGACTAAAAACCATCATTGTTTTTATTATATATAATTTAAAATTTTTAGATTTTGAAAACGTGAATTATGAGTTATGAATAAAAAGTTTTGTGACAGAAAATGTGACAACAGAATGTTAACTTAACGAAACATACATTTCCAAACATAAATTTGCACTCTCTATGCACAATGAAATGTATAAAATTGACATTTTATAGCACGGCAATACAGAAACATACAGCCACGCACACAATTAACACTTGGAGGCACCATGTTTACCTAATAAACATGCTTTTGGAATGTAGAAGAAAGCCAAAGCACCCAAAGAGAACTCCCACATGCATGGCGAGGAAATCCATGCCAGTTCACAGCGCATTTCCTCTCACTTCATCTGAAATTCCCTTTACAGAGATATTTCAATGAGATCACCCGCTTAGTTTGGTTCAAAATCTTTCTATCTAAAGAAAACATTGCATCTAGTCACTGACTTTGGAGGATTCGCTCCTCCTCTGGTTATAATATCAGCTTGCATTATTTTTGACTCTACAGCAAACCTTTAGGTATGCATGCAGCCATAGTGGAGAAGAAAAAAAATAAGAAGAATGTGTTTAGAACACAACAATAGGTGCTGGACTCCACCAAGTTGGCCTTAAAGGAACAGTATCTAAGAAAGTCATGGTCTTAATGAAGCCTTAAGCAATCATGTTAGCTTTCAACACTCTTTATTTGCACAGAAAATATTTGAAACAAAAACACTGACCTACAAAAAACTTCATGTGAGGATAGAAAAAAGCTAAACATTTATGAAACATATGCCCCATAATCATATGTAGGTGGCAGCGTCAAGCTTTTTGGATATTTTTTTCAAAGGTAACAGAGAAGGTGGTCAGAGCTGAAAGAAGCTACTGTAGGAAATGCTTTAAGACCAGTTAGAGACGATCTGGGAAATCATCAGATTAAAAAGAATTTCGATATTTTTGAAGTTGCAAAGGTTGCAATGTTCAGCCAACAAATAATTCAAAGCTGCAACTTTGTCTTCTCTTGTTCCGACTTTGTCCGTACATGCAGATGTATTTATCTCTGTTTTTGCAACAGAAGCAGCCATTGATAATAATCTTGTTTCTTTTGTAAAAACATCACATTACATAATACATATGAAGTGCAAAAGTTCAAGTTGGAAGAGAATTTGGTCTGGCTAATAAAGAGTCATGAAAGGTTTAGTTTATGCTGGCTTTAATGAATGAAATCTTACAGAGAAAACTGACTATAATCCTTTAGTAACTGCCATTTTGCAGTTTTAAACTTTAACTGCTAAGCTCTTGCTGAATCTTCTCCAGGCTTTCTGTCTTTGTTTTTATAAAAAGCGCTCTTATAAGGCTTTTTAACTTCTGGAATATTTAGCAGAATCAAGGCATTACCCAAAGCTTCATAAAATGTGCAACTTGGCAAACGACAGATATCGAACAGGGCTGTGATGGCTGCTTGTGACTAGTTAAAGAAATTTGCGTTAAATTTGCAATAGATTTGTCACTTGCATTAAAACTACATACTCTGTTCTGCTCCCTTGTGTCAGGTAATAATTTTAGACTGGTTGACAACAATGAATTAAAATCAAAGGAATAACCATTTGAGCATATTTTATTCAGCTTCTAATGAATTAGATTGAAACAGTAAAAGTGTTCTGATGTCTGAATACTCTGTGGATTTAAGGGAAATAATGTTTTTTCAATTTGTTATTCTGATTTTTTACCTCCAGTTATGCAGATCAACAAGCTAATTGAGATGGAGGTGCTGGAGGAGGCTCATCTGAACCTGCTTGCCATGCGGCAGGAGTTTCAGAAGGAGCAGGAGCAATCTGGGGATGACTCCCCTATGGAATTGGCCAAGAAAGAAAAAGACCTAGTCCTTCTTTATAATGACCTTCGGAAAAAGATTTGCACCATAGTCTGTGATTCCAACTCTCTTCCTGCCAGGAATAAAGCGCTTCTGGTACACTTGGCACGTATTATCCAGGAGGAGGAGAAGAGGGCTGAGGAACCAGGAGGGCTACAGGACAGCTGGAGAGAGTCCTGGAGGGAGGCGGTATCTGACGGTGTACTGGCCAAGGTGAAAAGTGTACATCTGGACAGTAAAGAACAGAATCGGTCATGGTTGGCAGTTCATCTTGGACGCCTGGGAAAAACCATTGTGGAGGATTTGATGATTGTAAAGCAGGAACTACGATGGTCCTACCCACCCAGCTTTAAAGTCTTCAGCACTTATGTTAGGAGCTACCAAAGAGTCCTCGGGCAGCACTTGAAGAAGCTGGAGTCTCAAGTGACTGAGCTGAAGGATGTGTATGCTCTGCTAGATTGGATTCTCCACACATACAAGAGGTGAGAGGATAAGAGAATTAGAGGGATGCCAATCTGCTGCTCTGAATTGTGGCAAAGATGCTAAACTTAGAATGGTCATATATTAAAAACATGGTAATAGGTATTTGTTGATAGTTCTTACATTACAACCACAAACAACAACATATTTTAAAGGAATTATAAGTGAAAGTCTGAAAAGCAATTATTATTTGTTGTAACCATTGGTCACACAAAGGGTAAAAGTTTTTTGCTTCGAGTCGTTTAGGTTAATGATTGTAGCCTGGGGAAAGCTCCACGAAGTCACTAGAAATTGGCAGGAACAGAAACACTCTGTCGTAAACACCAAATCAGAAAGCCCTGAACAGGCTCAAAGGTGTATGCTGGCCATGCAACCTGAATGTTTATCTGCTTCCAGCGATTATGCAACGTGGATGGGGGCATTCACATCATTCAACGTGAGCTGATAGTCATGGACGACTGGCCCAACATCCCTAACTCATACATTAAACATTTCCCCATAATCTAACTGCCACAATGTGCCACTCGATCCACAATGCTGACATTAGCTACCTGCTCACTCAGCCATGCAAACTGCCTGGCACTTTGAAGAAGTTTTCTTTGATGAATGTTATCATTTTTCCACTAAAGTTAATTACAACAATAGAGTGCAATCAGTTTGAGACCTCGTCTAGCGTGCAGATAAGTTTCATGAAACGGTTTCTGAAACATTGTGCAGAAATGCTTTGTTTATGCAAACAGATTGTTGCAGTAAGTGCTAGGTTGGCTGGTCTTGGACAATTTGATGCTGATTATGAAGGTACTGTGTTAGAATTGGGAGGTTGGCTGGACGTGCTGCCAAACATTTTAAATTAGCTAAGTAGAGAGAAATACATTCAGTTCAAGGGCAAGTGCTTTGCAGCCTTTTATCGTATTATTGCCTTTTATTTTATTGTATTATGACATGCATAATCATGCTGTTATTTTAGGGTGTTGAAATGTCAGGCCTGTGAGGTGGATAGATTATTGCTCACCAGGACAGCTTTTGCCTAATTTGTGAACTATGTTAGCATACTATAGGCCTATTGCTTACTTTAAAAAGTCTTACATGACTTGCATCGTACAGATTAGCTAATAAAAAATGGGAACAAGAAAAGGATGTGTTACAGTGTTCACTTGACATATCTAAAAGTATTTGGTGCACCACCTTCACAGACATTCAGACTTCACTGACATCACTGACATATGTTTTATAAGAGGTGGGAATCCCCAGCGGGATTACTAGTGTATATATTGTGATTTTTGACCACATTGACTGTGTGGTGCCTCGTCAAGTTCTTCAACACCAAGAGTGTGAAAACACGACTCCCTTCCCTTTGAAACATTCTGCAGACAGTCAACAGAGAGAGAGAGAGAGGGAACTACTCCAGAGAACAGGTCTCTGCTACCATTCAGATCAAAAGTGTTGTGCTAATCAGAAAGACATATAAAGATTGGAAGTCTCTGTAGAAAATTATTGACCTTTGTGCCCTCTGTGCCTCATCATCTGCTATGAATTCTGCAAAATCTGCAATTAAATTTGGAAGTGAGTTGCTATTATTTTAAATAGATTCTTATTGCTCGCGAAACCAGCAACAGTTGACTCTGGAAAACCTTCTAAGGAAGAAGTTTCAAAACAAAACTAACTGCATCGAGTGGTGTCATATCACAGCAATATGCTGAAGTTCACTGGGTTCCTAAGTGCAACCCATACTTTCCAAATGTTTGTAGAAGAAGTTTATATGTGTGCTTATTTTTATAAACCTGATGCCTTTGAAGTGATTCGAACACCAATGTTCAATGAGTTTGAAGGGTTATTAAAGAGTTTTGGCAGGATATAGATCCAGGCATTGTCTCGTCGAACCTCGAAGAATGTGGGGCAAGACTTGATTATTGTTGCTCAAACACTTTCTCCATTAAAGTTATAGTGGAGAATGTTCTTTTTCCAGGTGGATCATCAAAATAGGTGGTCCTCCTACTTGTCAGTCATTCTGATGATATGTTTACGTAAGGTTGATCTACGTGCTTGTTCCAATTTTCACTTACCTGTGGTGAGTCTGATATAGTGGATAAATTGCAAATCTTTTTTTGAAAAGTAAGCTTGTGTGAGCGATGCAAACAGCACCTTTTAAACAGAGCGTGCAAAAGGAGAAATGGGCTTGTGCACACTCTAGCACGTCTATAATAGACGTTCCCTCTCAGATACAGGTTTGTGCATGTGCATTTTTTTTTAAAGTGGAGGGTGGGTATTTTCAAAATTCCCAAAAATCATCCACAATACCTTTTAAGTATGACTGATGTTCAACAAATAAAAATTGAAGTAGACTGTAATTTCAGGTAAAAGTAGCTTTACAAAGTTTTGTCCATGGGGACTAGAAATAATTCCACCCAACACCTACAGCAGAATTATAATTTGTATGAAAAAAAACAACTGTTGGCTCTAAAACTTCCCAAATATGTGCTCTTTGTGCATAAAAGTTTAGCTGATATCAATACTTTTCCAAGGTGCAAGTGTGACAGAAAGCAAAATCTGTGTAGTTTGCATCAAAAGTCACAATTAAATACAGAAATGCTTTAGCAGAACATAACAGAATTGGTGAACTAGAGTATCAGCTTGGAGAAGGAGCTGAGGAGGAAGTAATATAGGAAAAAACAGCACTTACAGATTTGCTGACATTTTATTTTTTTAACTGTCGAATCAGGCCACACCAAACCAATATATTGTGCTTAAACACTTTTTTTTCCCCATTCTACTAAAACTGAACAGCTGATCTACAAAAAAAAAAAAGAGAAAGTTTAAAGATCGACTCCCTCCCGAAGGGTAAAATGGAAACATTAAAATTAGGACATACCTTCATTGGTCTCAGACACTGAAGAGGAATTAATACCACTGTAGTATTTTAATACCACTGTGGTATTTTACAAAAAATACCAGATATTTTTTGTAAAATAAATGTTTCATAAAATTTTATTATATCTATTCATTTTTTTTTATTATTCAGATACTGCTGCATTTTAAAGGTCTTATATTTTTTCACACCATGAGGGAAGAATCTGAAGATCTGACCCTAAATAAACAGGATTTCATCACATGAGGTCTTCCCTCAGTGGGATATGCTGTTATCAATGTGCTTCAATGCCCGCTGGTCTAAACAACTCCATGACATGTGACTGGTATCCTGTTTCACTCTGACAGCGAGAAGATCATGGGAAGTTTCTCCTTGCTGCCAGAAATGGCAGAAGAAAGTACTGATCTGCAGTTAGAAGAAAGCTTTATGAAGCAGCTTTTAGAGAAATACAGCCTCAAAGTAAAGGTAAGTAAAGTAAAATAGTTTAATTTCATAACATTTTTAGAATAAAAATCAGGGTGCTTTAAATAAAATGTGCAAAACACATCCTGAAAAAGTAGTTTAAGAGCAAACCTCCAGCCTCTTAAAAGCCTGACAGTCTGATTAGCAGCAACAAATAATATATCTTTGAACCTGTATGGTGCCCTATGTAGAAAACGTTAAATTGTACAAGCTCTAAGTTGCTGTTTTGAATCATTCTAAGAGTCTTTCCTAAAGATGTAGGAGTTGGGACAATTTCATGCTCCTACTTGTGTAGAAACAGATAAGGGATCACCTCTTCCTGTTTGAACATGGCTGTGTACCAAATGATGATGCTCTAGTTTGAACCTGCATAATATGAGAGCCCTTTGAACAACCTGTGAGAATAAGAGGTTCCCATATGTTAACCATTTCTTCTTCAGGTTTATGTCCCACACAAATTAACTCTTCATGCTTGTGTGATAGACTTAAATGGTATGATTAATTACCATTATTTAGGATCTATTTATTTAATTGAAAGTTACTATGAAAGGTTTTGATTGAAGTTTATTGTAAAAAGCGGCATATCTTGGGCTCAATCTTTTCTGTTGGTAAAATTCTTGTCCGTTAACTATTCCAAAGTTTTCTTATCTAGAAGATGGTAAAACTGCTTTGCTTATGTTTAACAACCATCTTGTGTTCACACTCTGCGGGCCTTATTTACATTCATTTATATATCAGTAATCCACACACTGTTGGTGGTGAGAGCTGTTGTAGCCACAGCTGGCCAGGGGCACACTGTCAGAAGTGAGGCTGCCGTTCACAATGGTACCCTCTGAACACCAGTTAACTTAAAGTGTCTTACCCAAGGACACAACAGGTGAGCCGAGGTTCAACCCTCCAGTTGCAAACCAAACTACTGCCACCTACACTGCTGTGGCCGCTAGAATAAAATTCAAGGTCCAAAGGTTCACTGCAGTGTTCCTCAATTTTATTCCTTAAAGTCCAGTGTTTTGTAGAGATGTATCTTTGCATCGACACAGCGGAGTCAAAAAATCAGGCCATTAGCAGGACTCTGGACAATTTCATGCATACTACAAAAGTAATTTAACCAATTTTTTCAGGCGTTTGGACGCAGAGACACAACTAAAAGGTGCAGGATGCTGGACTTTGAGGGCCTTAACTGAGGAAACTTGGTCTACAGCAAGACTTGGGTATCCAAGTTATTTGAGGTCCTATGTGAAATTAGTGATGATTTGGTTTGCCACGCCATCTGCTGGTGTTGAATGTGTTTTAAAAAAAATCAAAACTAGATATAAAGTCAGAGAAAGCATTAAGTCAGTCACAGTAAAGCATGGCGGTAGTAGTATCATTTTGCAACATATTTTTTTGAATTTATTTTAGGAAAATAAATACAAAGACCTCTTCCTTTTTTTCCTCCACCCCATAACTATTTTTTTTTCTTTTTGATTGTAGTCTTGATTTGTGTGTTTAAAACCTTTACATATTTACCATTTTAGAAATATAACATCCAGGCGTTGATGGCATTAATTATCATTATCAGAACAGGGACCCACAATGTGAACATCTAAATATATTAAAACTGAAAAATGGCCCCACTCTTACATTTTATTGTATTTTACTGAGATAAAATAACATTTCAGCTCAGAGCAGATTTCTGAGTATTAGTTTTAACCTGAAATAAACCCATTTCTTCCTGCTGAGCCTGATGTTTTCACATGGTTGTCCCGTTGCTTCTCTCTGTGTGTGCACTGCAGGAGGACGTGAGTGCTGCACTGGACAGAGTGATCGAACTGGAAAATGAAACTGTTTGGAAAGACAAAAATGAGCCCCAGATAGAAGACAACGTCTTTCACTCTCAATTTCCTATGGACATCTGGACTGTAAGACTCTAATTCATGACTCCTATACTGCTAAATCAAACTACTTGCATGGAAATTATATTGGTAGAGGAACATCTTCATCATCAGGGTTTCTGATTAGATAACATGGAGGTTTATTTTGACCATTTTGACAATCATTTAAAATGTACTTACCGATTCTGTCTACATCAGCTGAAGACCACATTGCATACCAAGGTTATCAACTACAAAAGAGAAACTGAAACTATAAATTAGTTTGGCTTCTGGCATAAACAATAGAGCATAGATCCATCCTGCCTTAGCTCCGTGGTTCAGGCTGATGGAAGCAGTTTGTCTAGGCCCACTTCGGTTATCTTAGCTTACCATAGCTATCAGAAGAGAGTGCATTGCGGTATATGCCATGTTAGTTCAAACTGGTTTTTAGTTTACTGTGCTCCAGTGGTCTTCATAGAGAGGAACCTTTCTTTTGATATGGTGGAATGGGAGATTCACAGCATGATTGTGCAGCTGATCTACCTATACACAGTAGATTGAAAATCTTTAAGGAATGTTCCCAACATACCAGCAGCTCCTGCAGGGACCAACGTCTAAGAGGAAGCTCAAAGGAGCGACAGCCTTTTCTATCGCCGCTCCTCTTTGGAAGAGCCTCCCACTGAATAATAAAGCATCTCCTTCACTACCAAATTTTAAGAAATGCCTGAAGACTCACTTTTATTTGCTGGCTGGACTAAATTGTTGTTACCATGCTTATTTAGCTTATTTTATTATAGCCTTATTTTATACATTTTTGTTATATTTTATTCTTTTATTGTGTTTAATTATTTTTAGCTATGTTTAATACTTTCTTTGTTTTAGCTGTTAGGTGTTTTAAAGCTCTCTACAAAAAAGGATGATCATACTTATTCAGGCTATAAAAAAAATCAATACCATAGTGAAGACAGGGCCTAACAGCCTCACTGTTGTTACGCCCACTAAATTAGAATATAAGTTGTCTTTAGTTAAATTCAAATCAACATTTGGATGTTCCTCTGGAATCAAGTAGTTTATGACAGATTTAACAATTCTTATTTTTCTATCGTTTCATTTTTTTTTTTTTTTTTTGTCCAGCAGATTTTTACTGACAAATATAATTTCAAGTGATTATTACGGATTTACAGTGATAACTATTTAAAGCAAAAATATGTTTGGCGTTAGTATTAAAATGTAAACACAAACTTGCAAAAAATTGAAAACATCACGGAATATGTAAATGGGAAAAACTGATCTAAAAATAAAAATAAAAAAAATCTTAAACTAGCCGTATTTTCCCTTAATTTGAGCACATTAAAAACATGATCTGCCAACGGAAGTATGTTTGCCCTTAAAATAAGATAATTAGACATTATGCACTTAAAATAAGATAATAGAGTTGTTGTTTTTTATATTTAATGTAAATAATGTAATTACATTTTTAAATAGTCTGATGGTTTTGCTCAAATCAAGTAAAAACCTGTATATTCAAGAGAAATGACAATTGCTTTATTATTTGCGGTGTAATGCTGGATTGCATCCTGTTGATGGCAGCAGAGAGCTTAATGTTTCTCATGTGTAGTTTTTAATTATGTCTGTTTCTGTCTGCAGAATATGAAGGCAAATGTGATCCACTCCCAAAAGCTAGACATTGAACTGGAAAAGAAAGTGATCGTTTCCTGTCTTGAGGAGCTGAAAACCTTTCCCATAAGGTAAACTGAAAGGGATAAGCAAGAATTAAGTTAATCTCAAGTTATTATTTTTATATTTGTTATTACAGCATTAATTTGTGCTTTTTTCATCAACGGTTTAGTGTGATTTATTGCTGATTAATAAGGAATAAAATAATACCATAGAAGGTGATAACTACGCTTTGGTTGCAAACATTAAACTCCAAACACTTGAGTTCATTTTAAAAATTAAAACAAAATCTTAAAATTTTTTACAGATAAAACTAAAAAAAAAAAACAACTAAACTTGCAGCTAACTATGTGAAAACATTTTCAACCAGGAATATTCGTTGCACTGTCTACAGGTGGTTCATATTTACTGGGGTCAAATCTCCATGAGAGGATTTTAGGACATTTAAAGTATTTAATTTAAGTGATTTCCCTCTGGGATTATTAACGTATGTCTGATTCTGATTAAACAAACTTATCATCTTCAGTTATCTTTTTATGATCAAGACTTCATTCTCGAATCTTAATAGAGCATTTATTTCACGTAACCAAGCTCAGACATTTCTTCCCCAGCCCCTTGTAAGTAAATAAAAACTCATATTACCTAAACTTTTCAATCCATATTTCCACATAGTTTCACTTGTTTTTTTTTTTCTAAATCTGACATTATGACACATATCTATTTATAATGGAGTTTTACATAACAGATTAACGCAAGCTCCAACAATAGAAAGCAGAAGGAAAATTACACGTGGTTTCAAAAGCTATTTACAAAAAGTTAAATGCTTTGTAGGTTTTTTTTTCTTTTATCCAGTATCCTCTGGTGTTCCTTAATGAAATAAATAATAACCTGTCCTCAGAAATAATCAGATAACCTAAAAGGACTCTACCTGTGTTTAATTTATTCTGGGGTCTGAGGATTCTGGTAAAACATTTTCTAACTAACAGCATCATTAAGACCAAGGAAAATACAGCATTACTGTAGACAGATAAGGGAGAACTTTTTTTTTTTTTTTTTTTAAAGCAGAATTAGATTAGAAAGCAACAAACCTCCCAGATCTTCAGTCTTGTTAGTAAATGGAAAGTTTTTAGATTGCAAAGTTAATTATCACACAATTCAACAAACATAGAGAACAAAAGTTATTGTTAGAAAAAAAAGCGCTAAAGGTCCCACTTCACTTGTATGCAGGTAGTGCTGTGGTGGGTTGACCCCAAAAGTAAAACTTCTATTCTACCATAAATTTTATGTTTGATAGAAAACAGAAATTTTATTATTTAATTTAATTTAATTTTATTCTAGACTATTATTTTTAGAAAATACTAAAAGCCTTTTTTTTTTTTTTTTTTTTTTTTTTTTTTTAATTCACAATCATGTGCTACGTAGTGTTGGTCCATGTGAGAATGCTCTCCTCTTTAGATTTTTTATGTGGTAATTTCCTTTTCTGCAAAAGTTTAAATTACTTATCAGACCCACAAAGAGGACTTAAATAATACATTTTACAGAGAAACTGACAGTTAATATATTTAGAGCCACAAAATGAGTCTGCTATGGCATGGCTAAGATATTATTAGAAGTTAGAAGATTATGGTAAAAAACATGATGAAAATAGAATTGATTAGAACATTAAGTATACCTGTAAAACTTTTTTTTTGTTGCAATTAATTGATATTGAATTTGATCTGATTGCTAAACAATACCTGTTTTATTTGTAGAGCACTTTAAAAGGATTGGGAGCAACACATATAAAAATAAAAAATAAAATTATAATAAAATGAATGGCAGGGTATTAGGACATTTTAAAGCAAACTAAATAACTTTAAAATAGATCCTGAAATGTTAAGGCAACAAAGTGAAGTAAAGTTAAAATGAAGGGAATATGCTCAGACTCTCCCTCTAGTTAAATACCCAGCACAATAACTGACTCAGACTGAGTACAAATGCATGCCACACTTTTCAGATTTAGAAGCACACTGAAATTCATGCATCATTTTCCCTCTACAATCTTTTGTGATTCTGTATTTGCCTATAGCATACAATCTTTCTATAAATACTGAAGACATAAGGAAAGGATTTCAAGTCGCCTGCATTATCTCACAGCTTTATTTCTTTTCTCGACTAACTAAGGTCTCTTCTCTCTTCTCTAGGTTTGAAAACCAGTTCATATTGCATTGCAGCGCCCTTCAACCGCAACCCCTGTGGACAAAGTATCAGATAACCTACATTAACAGCTTTGCTGCTTTACAGTAAGTCACATGGATTCACAGAAATCCCATAATGCACTGCAAACGGGCGAGATGACAAACCCACAAACCCGCAGCTGGCTTTTTGTTCCCCGACATAAAAAATGAGAAACTGACAATGGAGTTGTTGTGGGTTAACTGCAAGTGGTGGCATGCTTTAGAAGAGAAAGTAAACAGGGTGCCTCACAGAAACTAGTTATTTTATGTGAAACACAGCACTGTTTCTACTCTAAGAACTATAATGCCTGCTTACACCTTCATACTTGCCTTTGTTTATGAATATTTAGTCAAAGTTAGGTTGCACATTCTGATTTCAGTTTGACTTTTAGTTTGAAAATGCCACTTTTCGGAACTTTAACAGCTAATGGTAAAACCAAGAATGTGACTGTTGCGTGATGCAGCATTCGCAAGCTTAGGGGAAAAAATGTAAGATCCAAGCCAAACATGATGTCTTCACTCCGGTATTTAAACCAGGCTCACTCTTCCAACTCTGTCATCTGGTAGATTAGTTTAATCACTAAGCATTCTTTACATCTGTGTCTTATCTGTTATATTGATGCAAATTGGTCAAGGGGAAATATGGTCATGTATATAAATAAATCAGGACACCTAGGAAATTAAGAAAATTAAGAACTATATTTTTCTTTTGCAGAAAAGAGAGGGATTGAATTTCAACAACAAAAATATACCTTGTGTTTGTGGTTTGACAAAATATATCTAGAAAAATTATTTTTCCAGCAAATGAATAATATAGAATAACCTTACTCCTAATAGATAACTTGAGTAAAAATATTCTTGTAGCTATTAACAAGTTGCTGCTACAGCTAGTGTCTCTTATTTGAGATGTCTCAGGAATATTTTAAATGATAATAATCTTAATTTTTCATAATTATTTGCATCCTGCTAGCAATCTGGGGTGAAAGCTCTTGTTTAGAAACCCAGAGTGGAAGGTTTTGGGATTTAAACAAGCAACCTTGCACATAACTTGTACATCTAACCATGTCTTAAAATATTTTGTTATCTAAAAAGTAGTTGTGATCTTGCTTAGACTGTGATATATTGAGAAAGAGCAGAATCTGTTGCATTATTAATCTACTTTGGAGAAGATTATTTCATAAGTTTTCTTATTTTCCTATTTCTTGAAGCTATGATATATATTCTCATACTACCAATTGCATAAAATCTGACTACATTGGCAGATTATTGCACTTATTTTGAGTAGAATCTTCTCCTGCTTATTCTATTGATCTCAGATCAAGATCAAAAATACTTTGGCCATGTTAAAGATTGTAGGACTTCTTTAGATGGATATTTTTATGTATCCATAAAGCTCCCTGCTTTACCCACTAGGCCATCTCTCTCATAAAAAACACAGATTGTTAGAGTCAGATAGTTTCTACAAAGATGAGCTTCAATCTGTTTTGTCATGATTTCACAGAATCTTTCTGAAGTCTTTATAAATTTAGAACTATTATGAAGATGTGTCGTCTCTATTTTTTTTCAGCTGAAAATTCACCTGCTTAAACATAAGTTTAAGGGAGGATGGGGTTTGATGGGGTTTCTGGATGGGGTTTAATTAATAGCTGTAGTAAAAAATCTTCATGGTCACGTGATTTCCTGGAAACAGAGAAGCGAGTGTGAAACCGTTCTATTAAAAGGAGGAAAAGCGAAAGCACTTGGACCATGCATGATTTGGCCTCACCCCCTGATATAAACCAGACAGACATGTTTAGGGCAGCATTTCAGTTTGATTTATATCACTCATTTGATCTTATTAAAGTGGAGCTGTGAGGAGGTGTATAAGTAGCTTTCACCTTCCCTGCACCCTTTAACTAGTATGCTTCTCTAAAGTAGGCCTGATTAACAAACTCATAGATTCAAAGAAAGGTGCTTAGTATAGATTTTTCCAACTGCACAAATTGATCTAAACATGTCCTAATCTAAGTGTATTTACCCTTCATTTGAGTAATTAAGTTTCATTTATCAAATGCAAGACCTTGGGCACTCAGAGCCAAGAAAGGCATTTCAAGTGAGAAAGTAGAGGCATATGCCATTTAAAAGGTTTATATAGTGGCTAGGCTAACCCCTGAGTTAAGTTATTTTGCTGCCAATAAAATATGTTGCCCTTTAAAATAAGCTATACATGCAACACCTGAAATATGATGGAGACGCTGTGTAATTAGGATATATTTATTGCTTACCGCAGTCGGGGGTGGCTAATATCTTAGTCAGATAACATTCTGACTGTCATATTTTGTTCTGTGAACACATGCCCAGCTGGTGGTTGTTAGAACAACAAATCAAGCTCAAATCATGGTAAAATCAGGGAACTCTTCACATATATGGAATAAATGTACTACATCTTCCTTTCAAAATATTAGAGTTTATTAACTAAATGTCATAATGGGCTTTAAAGATCTGACCCACATGCAGAGAACCACTCAGAGACAAGAGTAAAAGTTAACAGGTTTATTGAAGGTTGCAAAGAAACACAGACGGAGAGAGTATTCTGCTAGGTTATAATGTTGGACCTCAACAGACTGGTGAACCGGAACCGGAAACTCTGAAGAGAAGATCACTATGATCCGTTCAGGGACCGTGGGAAAAAAAAAAAAGAGTGAGGCTTGTATTTTGCTGGAGAGGCACTCACGCTTTGGGGGCTCTTGGTTATTCCTTGGATCCAGTTTGTGGGGTTTTATCCAGAGAAGAAGGAACTCCTTGGAGAGCGGACAGGCAGACTAACGTTGGACCCAGAGGAGTAAAGGAGCGGACTGTCACCTGGTTTTCCAGAGTTGGACTTGAATGGATCATGAGAAGGTTTCCCCTTGCTCAGTGTGACTCAGATAATCCTTCCAGGGGGGCACCTCATAGTGGAAGGTCCAGGCTTATCCAGTGTTTCAGGAAGGCTTCCCAATACTGGCAAACACCCTGGCGTCGAGGTAGTGACAGCCCACAGCTCAAATACTCCTCTGGTAATGACCCAATGAGCCACAGGTGTGTAAGGAGGCCCAACGAGGACAGGGCACCATCTGGTGGTGGAGAGAAGAAAAACACAAAAACAACCCAAACAAACTGAATCCTAACACAAAACTCATTCTGCTCCAAGTCAAACATTTTTCCGGTAAAAATTCTTGATTGAATTAGTGAAACTCAATATTAATAAGCTTCCATGTACAAAGAAGAAAGAAAATAATGGTTGAAAATCCTTATCAATAAAATGATGGAATGATATAACGATTCAGCATGGGTTTTATGTTTGAGAACCATGATGTTTGTTTATCTTAAGGTATTTAAAAAATGAGGTCCAATTAGCTTTTAACTAATTTAGAACAATTAGAATGTGTTCAGATCCATTCACAATGCAAATATTAGCTGTAAATAAAATATTAAATAATGTTTTATTAAATGATTTGCCTAAACTGAAGAATAACCTTTATTTTATCCATGTTAAACCTTCTTTGAATTAGGCTTGTAGCTAGCAAACCTGAGAGGCCTAAATGGCTCTTTGGTCATAATTCATTAATCAAAATGTGATGAGGATATGACGAAACACAAGAAAATGATTTGTATAGTAGTATTTAAACCCTTAGTAAGGTAAAACTTCCATCCTTTCATTTTCCCTCATGTTTATTCCTGCCAGGGTCGCAAGGGGTGCTGGTGCCTATCTCCAGCTGTCAGTGGATGAGAGGCGGGGTACACCCTGGTCGCCAGTCCATCGCAGGGCAAAACAGAGACAAACAGGACAGACAACCATTCACGCACACACTCACAGCTAAGGAGAATTTAGGGACCCTGATTAACCTAACAGTCATGTTTTTCGACTGTGGGAGGAAACCGGAGTACCCAGAGAGAACTCAAGCATGCACAGGGAGAACATCCAAACTCCATGCAGAAAGACCCCAGGCTGGGAATCGAACCCAGAACCTCCTTGCTTTAAGGCAGCAGTGCTACCCACTCTGCATCCACCTAAATTAAAACTTGTTTTGCTTTATAAACAGCAGCTTAAACATGTCATTGTGGTGTGCTATGCAGCCTATTTTGTTATATTACCTTTAGATTACAGGGAAGATATGAAATTATCATCAAAAAGAAATTATTTAGCTAAAAAAAAATGTTTCCCTAAATGTGCCAAACCTCTACCTCTGCTGATCTCGCTTTTGGAAAAGCTGGGTTTCTCCAGTATTGGCTTAACAAGGCAGACTCACTTTAGAGAAGTTCTTTGTTTGTAGGAGCTCCAGCACTCCAGCCTCCTGCCTGAAAGTCCTTAGTCTTAGAGAGAAATTTAGCAAGGAGTCTGTTTAGAAGCAATCTGGTTTTGGAGTTTTGCAGCAGATCCACTTAGCCTTTGGTCAGTCTGGAGAGACAGAATGTGACTTTGGAGTTTCCTCTTCAATCACCGTGGGCGCAATAATGCATTTCCTGTAGGAGTGTCTTGGAAAACTGTCTTGGGAGGAGGCGACTTTGCAGCATTTAGAGATTTAAAAGAGATGACCATGCAGATGTGTTTTTTATTTTTTATTTTGAGTCCAAGAATCTTATTTTGTTGATAGATAAGTTTAAGAGAAAATGTGCAGCTCTATTTGCAATGAAAGGTGGTCAACATTGAGTACAGCTGCCTTATGATATCCTGTTCTGATTGCTTCAAGATTTTGCATGGCTTTGTGCTGGTGTGTTACATCTATTTCTGCCAAGATGTGCTCCAATCTGGTTGCAAAACGACAAATTGTCGTCAAATTATGGTGTACACGCATAAAAGTCACACAAAAGAGGACATTTTCTAAATTTCTCATTGTTTTTTGTCTCTAGGCAATACATGGAGGGGTACATGGACAGCTGTCCAAACGAGGTGGAGGCGTTCAGAGGAGAGGTGAAAGGGCTTATTGAGAGGCTAATGGAAAGTCTGGGGAAACAGTATAAAGATGATGCCAAGGTAACTCCACTGTTGCATATGCTAGAAGAGCTGTATTAGGTAAACTCTCTGTTCCTCTTTGATTGGTTCTCTTCCTCTTAAAGTTTAGACATTTCATTTTGTGTTTTTTAAGAGGAAGTGAAAAAGAGATCTTAAACTCTTGATGTTCTTTTTAGAAACACCTTTACAATATCTAGAAATTATGGACTTAACAGAAGTTCTCAAACTGAGACTATTGAGATAAGAAATTTGTTTAGTGTAAGTAGAAATATGAAATGCAAATAAAAAAAAACTTATTCCTTACATCAACATTGTTTAAAAATTAAAGTCGCTGTAGTTGCTAAGGAGGAAATGATTTTTTAAATGTGAAATCAATAAAGAACACTTTGATTGGGAATAATTGATCTGACTATTCCTATTGTGCACAATATGTATGTTATATAATATGTTATGTATCACTTGTTTAACCTCCTATATAGAAAACCTAAAAAGTTGTTTAATACAAATCCAATTGGAAACTTTGCCTCTTCTTATAATTTCTTTACTTATTTCCAGCCTTTCCTCAGGCGGATGATGACGAGGAAGTGGCTTACCAATGATGATGACTTCAAAAACCTCTACAGCCGTACAAGGCAGCTTTGTGATCATTGTAAACACATGAGTCCTCCATATTTAGAGGTACAGAAGCATGGTTACGATTTGTCTGATTGATCAAATTTGGGAAGTTTTAATTGATGTTATTCTATTTTGGACAATATCCATCCATACATCCATTTTCCGTCATGCTTATCCCTGTTGGGGTCGCGAGGAGTTCTGGTGCCTATCTCCATTGTCAATGAATGAGAGGCAGGGTACACCCTGGAAGGGTTGCCAGTCTATCGCAGGGCAACACAGAGACAAACAGGACAAACAACGTTCATGCACACACTCACCTAAGGAGAATTTAGAGAAGCTAAAAAACTAACAGTCATGTTTTTGGACTGTGGGAGGAAGCCCGTAAGCCAAATGTTACGTAGGCCAACAAAATTGTTCAGGATAAAACGAAATCAGCTGAAAGCTAGGACTCTCTGAAAACTAGCTGAGTGGCTCTTTCAAGATGCACAAACTGAAGCAGTTGAAGAAAAATGGGCTGCGTGGTGTTACTAGAAAAAATCCATTGCATTGCTGCAAAGTATTTTATCTACAATATGCATAAACAGCAAAGGGACAAACCTCAGAATTTCTAGAACAAGGACATTTTGAGTGATGATACTAAGCTAAAACATTTTTGCCACAACCATAAACATTGCATTTAGAGAGATATACATAAGGCCTATGCCAAAAGAAGCACCATTCCTACTGTAAAGCATGGAGATGAATCACTGATGTTTTGGGGATGTTTGAGCTACAAAGGCACAGATCAAAGCTAGTGGGATGAGGAATGTTATTAGCAAATAGTGGAGGCACATTTATATATATCAGGCTCAAAGCTGCATATGGGACGTAATCGGATGTCCCACAAAGACGATTGTCCAAAACACAAGGCCAAGCCGACCTGTGATTGGCTACAGCAATCTGTCCCCTGACCTCATTACCACTGAGCCAATCTGGGGACATCTCATGTTCATGCAAGACACCCAAAGAATTTACAATTGGAGGCCTTTTGCCAAGAAGAATGGGCAACTTAACCAAGTTGTTTATTATTAAATGGTGTCATTCAACCACTAACCATGAGCAGAAAAGCTGTATTTTTGTGTTATGATTTATATTCTGTGAAAAAAAAAAGCGACAACAAAGTGTAAACTTTAGAGCACTACTGTAATGCTGACATCAGCATCAAACCAAAGTAAATGTCTCAGTGCTTTCAGCTGTATTAGCTATTGTTTGTCTTGGAATTGTTGTAATATATAATTGTTCTTAACTCTCCAGGGTCTTATCTGGTGGATGAATAAACGCCTGTTGTATGAACAGCCATGTAATTTCTCCGAAAGACGGAAAAAGGAAATGCTGAATGTTCTTTTCATTGGCATCCTGGAAATTCCTGTTGGATTTTTTTTAGTCTGTTACGGAAGCAGTAAAAAAAAAAAAAATGAATTGGTGGAAGTTAAAGTGTCAAAGCATAATGCTTTGACACTGCATAATATATTTGATTTTGACTACATAATATTTTAATTGTATGGCAAGAAATGCACAATCCATCACCTCCCTTCTCCATTTGTTCCATGCTGTTCTGATAATCCATCCCTATTTCTGTTGGACAGGAATTTGCGAACCGTTTGCATTACCATGTGGTGAAGGAGTACATCGGCCAACTCATGAAGAATAACTACTCATGCAAGAACCAGAAGCATGAGAGGGCTGCAACCAAAATCAATCAACAGTGGAAACAGCTTTGTGAACTGTTTTACAACATGGTAAAAAAAAAAAAAGAAAAAATCAAAATCTTCCTTCCTTTGTAAAAATTTAAGCTGTTAAACTGTTTGCGTCCTGTTTATTATATAGGATTTTTATTAAAGGATTTTTCAAAAAGTGTGTAAAATAAATCAAGAAAATTTAACTAGTTTAAAAAAAAAACTCAAGTTCTTACAGATGCAAATCATTACTGTTACAGCTGTATGTAGATCTAATAATAATAATAAATTTTCTATAGAAACATCTTTCATAAAACTCAAGATCGCTACACAAATAAAAGTAAAGAACAATAAAAATGATGAACATCATCAATGAAATTAACAAATCACAGAGAATAAATGTTTCGAAGGGGTGTGTTTGGGTCCGGATTTAAATAGATGTAGCGTCAATAATAGAGAGGAGAGGATTCCAGAGTCTGGAAGCAGAACAAGAGAAAATCTCTGCTCCTGAGGGAGCGGAAGGAGGCGGTGATATGAAGGAGATTAAATAAGGGGTGTGATTGTAAATGATCTTGATTGTAAACATAATAATTTTAAGTTCATGTAGAGCATAAAGATTAGATTAAAACAAGACTGTGCAACTTTTATCCACATCTTTGCATAATTTGAGGTCCATTAAATGACTTTCAGGTTAATCTACAGCAGTTGCTCCATATCGGCTGCCCTTCTCAAGAATTCACAATGTAACATCAGAGCATCCGATCTATGGCTGAACGAGTCATCGCTGTAACTCTGAGTAATGCTTTACAGCATTTGGAGAATCTCTTAAACCTAACTAATCTAAAAGATGTCCTTAAGCGTCAAAACAGATGACACCAGCTCAGACATATTGTTGGTTCTCTGATGTAACATTTAATATAGAGGAGTGTTTTACCAGTAAAGTCATGACATCTCAATCAGATAGTCTCCACTGGTGTTTAAGGGTGCTAAACCTGGAAGTTACAGGTCAGGTCCCCCTTGATGGCTAAAAGTTACACAGTATCACTTTAAGATAAGATTATGAGGGATCTCGAGACTAGAAATCCATCCATCCATCCATCCATCCATCCATCCATCCATCCATCCATCCATCCATCCATCCATCCATCCATCCATCCATCCATCCATCCATCCATCCATCCATCCATCCATCCATCCATCCATCCATCCATCCATTTTCTTATCCCTGCTGGGGTTGTGAGGGGTGCTGGTGATTATCTCCAGCTGTCAAAAGTCGAGAGGAGAGGTACACCCTGGACAGGTCACCAATCTATCGCAGGGCAATTAGAAATCCCTCCTTCCTTATTGAGGCAAGTTATAATAGCTTGATCAACTGACTAATTCTCTTAAAAATACCTCTATCTTTAGCATCTTTCTTCACTTTTTGTCCTAAATCCATTCTTTGCTATATACAGATTTTTTTTTTCATCTGCTAAGTTGAGGCCTATGAATAAAGAAAAAATATTTTGGAAATGACAAATTATTTGATAAAGAATGAGAACCAATAATTTTTTACTTTATTTGATAAAAATAAAGAAAGATTTCAAAATGTATTATAAAGAACCTTCAAACATTTTAACTATTGCACCTTCTACTCTTGATCATTTTAAGTTGTTCCAATATAAATACAAATAAATACAAGTAAAAACATTTTATAAATGTCAAAGAGAACATGTGCAACATAAAATGATTCAATCTAGATTTAATCAGTCTAATTATTTTAGAAGAGAGAGATAATACAATTTAATCCTCTACCCAATAATTTTTTTATTTCTTAATAATAAAAGCTCCAAGCAGATAACAACTATAGCTTTGTTAGCTATTGATTAAGTCACACTGTTTATGAACCATATCAAACTGATCTTTCCATCAGTTGTCTGAACAGCTGCACCAAAAACCACAAAAGACCTAAGCCTTTCCTGTCTTACTTCAAAATAAGAGCCTCTAATATAAAAAACAAAACTGGCCCCTTTCCACCAGCTCCATCTGGTTCTACTCTATCCCACCACTATTCAGATGTTTCCATTACTGCTTTTTCATTATCTGTACTGGCTTTTTTCAGTCCTACTCAGGAGTTGGTCCGATCAGAGATGAGTAGGACCGAACAAAAGGCAGTGCTGGTTCTGAATGAGCAGTAATGGAAACGATTGAAAATTGGTGGGATGTGATAAAGTAGGGCCAAGTAGAGCCGGTGGAAAAGGGAGAATAATGTCAGGCATGAAGGACTCTCCCTTGGGCTAAGAGTTATAGCATATATGTATTTAACCAGAGGTTATATTTGCTTTAAGTTGTCTTCTGTGGTCGACACATTTTTTTATACATATAACAGTTTAAAGTTGTAAAATGCTGACATTAAATATTTGGCTCCTCTGAACAAAACCATAACAAAATAATAAGTTGCTAAAGAAGTTTGTTCATTACAGCACAGTAATACGTTTAGACATGTCTATAGTGGCATGCATTTCATGTGACAATCCAAGCATTGCATGCATTGTGTTATTTTTTTCTGCAGGGATCAACTCATGAGTGGCTGGAACATGTAGGATACGATCTAAGCAAGATCATTGGAGAAAAAAACAAAACAGACATCAAGAGCAATGTGCAGCCCCTGCTAGAACATTATCCAGATTTCAGGTATGTATGGATTAGTCCCTTTTGATGACAGCGTGATATAACCAATAGCAACAACATGACAATATGTTCAGAGATTTAAATGACTTTGCAGATTTATTGTGGACTTAGTTTTAAGTAAGTAATAGGCTCGATGAAGGAGAGGAGGTAAATAAATTTAAAATGTTGCCACAACTTCATGTGTTGCTGTGGTTCACTGAAAGCTTGTAGACTAAATATTAAGTCTATAAACTTGTTTCTTGATCACCTTAAATTTAGAATTTGATGATCATAAAAAGTGTCACATTGTTTAGTATGTACTATTTGTTTCGATGGCATAGGAAGACACAGTGACCTGAGAAAATAGAGCTGCGGTGAAAATGGAAATATTTAAAAAGACTATGTCGTCATTATACAATGTGTGTTGAAAATCTGTGGTTTTGTTGTCAAAACAAGTAAAAAAACATAAAAAAATAAAGCTGAAGAAAAACAGAAGTCCTGGAGTTCCCCTTTATGAATAATAGCACTCAAAGATTAACAACAATCACTACATGATAACTCTTATTTAACAGAAAGAAACCTCCAGCAGAACCAGACTCGGAGTGAATGGCCATCTGCCGTCACACCACTGGAGCAGACAAAAGCTGTTTACTTTAAACCACCTGTATCTACAGTACATGAAAGATTTCTGTGGAAACTGGGTGCAGCTGCTTTTTATTCCAAGTTTTTGAAAATAGGGAGATTAATTGCAGAGCAGGAGATTTTTTTTATTTCTTTGACATTATGTAACCTGCACCCTTATTGGCCAAATGCATCTCTTTGTGTTGCCCTATATTAATCTCCACCCACACTGTCTGTCATTTAGGCCATAAACTTTGCAAAGTTTGCAAACTGAAAACTTTCTATGAGTTTCTTTCAAACATTTCTATCTTTTTGCCACTCTTCCATAAATTTTTCTTTAAATAAATGGATTCTTTGCTTTTTCTGTCAAGTTAAGGCAAGGGAAGTTTATATATGTAGAAAAGTACTTACAAGGCATTCAAGGTGTACAAGATAAGATTTCCTTGATAGATTATGCTTTTGTGCTATAGTCTCTTTGTTTTCAGTTGACAGATCAGTTCTCTGTAAGTTGTTCAAAGCTGGGGATACTGTTTTATGACCTAAATCTGATTTGAATTATCTTGTTTGGTCTTTGCAGGACAGCTAGATTTATTCTCAGACTAGATTACACAAGTTAAAATTGCTAAACAATTGACTTCTTAAAGCAGCTGGTAATAATGTGTTTTATTTTGGAGTGTTTAAATTAGTGATGGCTAAATAGATGATAATTTTTTTGTTAGAAAAAAGCAGCATTTTCTTTTAACTTTATGTTGGTCTAGCTTATGAAATTTCAACAGAATGAATTAATGTATGCAGTTGAAAAGTGACCAAATGTATTAAATGTATGATAGTTATGTTGTTGTTTTTTTATCTCTAAATGTATTCTAATTTGTGTCAATGTTTTTGTTTCCCTACCCACAGCAGGAAACATCTGGTTGCTGTTCTTTCCTTCAGCGGCCTTAATAAAGGGCGCGAGTACCACTTAATCCTCCAGAAACTCACTGCGCTTAAAAAGGAAGCGGGCAGCACATGCACTGACAGAAGCCAAGTTTTATTTGAGGACATTCAAGTCACGGCTAACACTGACTGCTTTTCCAACCTGCCTTCCTTCTGTGTCAGCTTTCTGCAGTCAGACAGCTAAGGAAGAACTGCAGAGTTCATTTCTTATGCTCAGCTTCTGAACCTGCTGCAGGAAATGCCATGTCACTTTTTTTCTCAGGTTATGGGATTTTTCATTATGCGGGCTTGATTGCACTGTGACTCTTGTTTGTATATATCCAAAGAACAGAATTTTCATTCATTGTTTGTGATAATTTTGTAACGTCACATTCAGTTTGGCAAATCTGCATAAAAAAGAACAAAATGTGAATTTTACTTCAGCTACAACCATACTACAGCTCTATGTCTTCTTTAAGATAAGCAATGCTAAATTTCATTTTCCTAAGAACAGCACTATGAATTAGGGTCATGTACTGTATTGGATAAGTTAAGAGAGGAGGTTAAAACAATGCAGTTAGACTAATAAAGAGGATGAAAACGTTGAAGGTACTCACAAGAAAACCAGCAAATAAACAAAAGCAACTTAGACACTTGGATAGGATATACAATAACAATAAAATAATATTGATAAAGTTATCTTAAAGACAATAGTTGGTCGCTGCACCCACATATACCACTGTATAATGTGGATTGTTTTTGCATCCGAGAATACTATGGCTTTAACCAAAGGATGAAAATGATGACATGTTAACAGATCCTGCCAGAAATCCAGAATTTTGAGGTTATTGTATTTCATGTAAATATATAATTGTTGGCTAACCTTGTTTAAGAAGACAAACAAACATTCTTTCATCACAGAAATAACTTTAACTTAAAAAAGTAATAATAAAAAAAAATGAAAGTCACTGATCTCTCTCTAATCATGCTTCAGTACAATGACTTTAAAAATAATGAAACAAACCTGGGCAAAAATAATCGCACCCTTGAAAAGACTGAAAATGATGTGACCAAAGGGCCATGTTAAATCAAAGTGTGTGCACTAATGAGCATCACAGGTGTCTCCAATCTTGTAACCATTGATTGAGCCTATACAGGTGCTGGTCATAAAATTAGAATATCATGAAAAAGTAGATTGATTTCAGTAATTCCATTTAAAAAGTGAAACTTGTATATTATATTCATACATTACATACAAACTCATATATTTCAGATGTTTATTTTGTTTAATTATGATGATTACAAATGACAACAAATGAAAATCTCAAATTCATCATATCAGAAAATTAGAATATTGTGAAAAGGTTCAAAATTGATGGCCCCTGGTGCCACACTCTAATCAGCTAATTAACTCAAACCACCTGCAAAAGCCTTTAAATGGTCTTTCAGTCTAGTTCTATAGGCTACACAATCATGGGGAAGACTGCTGACTTGACAGTTGTCCAAAAGACGACCATCGACACCTTGCACAAGGAGGGCAAGACACAAAAGGTCATCGCTAAAGAGGCTGGCTGTTCACAGAGCTCAGTGTCCAAGCACATTAATAGAGAGGCGAAGGGAAGGAAAAGATGTGGTCGAAAAAAGTGTACAAGCAAGAGAGATAACCGCACCCTGGAGAGGATTGTGAAACAAAACCCCTTCAAAAATGTGGGGGAGATTCACAAAGAGTGGACTGCAGCTGGAGTGAGTGCTTCAAGAACCACCACACACAGACGTATGAAAGACATGGGTTTCTGCTGTCGCATTCCTTGTGTCAAGCCACTCTTGAACCACAGACAGCGTCAGAAGCGTCTTGCCTGGGCTAAAGAGAAACAGGACTGGACTGCTGGTGAGTGGTCCAAAGTCATGTTCTCTGATGAAAGTAAATTTTGCATTTCCTTTGGAAATCAAGGTCCCAGAGTCTGGAGGAAAAGAAGAGAGGCACTTCATCCACGTTGCTTGAAGTCCAGTGTAAAGTTTCCACAGTCAGTGATGGTTTGGGGTGCCATGTCATCTGCTGGTGTTGGTCCATTGTGTTTTCTGAGGTCCAGGGTCAACGCAGCCACATACCAGGAAGTTTTAGAGCACTTCATGCTTCCTGCAGCTGACCAACTTTTTGGAGATGCAGATTTCATTTTCCAACAGGACTTGGCACCTGCACACAGTGCCAAAGCTACCAGTACCTGGTTGAAGGACCATGGTATCCCTGTTCTTAATTGGCCAGCAAACTCTCCTGACCTTAACCCCATAGAAAATCTATGGGGTATTGTGAAGAAGAAGATGCAATACACCAGACCCAACAATTCAGAAGAGCTAAAAGCCACTATTAGAGCAACCTGGGCTATCATAACACCTGAGCAGTGCCACAGACTGATCGACTCCATACCACGCCGCATTGCTGCAGTAATACAGGCCAAAGGAGGCCCAACTAAATACTGAGTGCTGTACATGCTCATACTTTTCATGTTCATACTTTTCAGTTGGCCAACATTTCTATAAATCCTTTGTTTTTATTGGTCTTCAGTAATATTCTAATTTTCTGATATGATGAATTTGAGATTTTCATTTGTTGTCATTTGTAATCATCAAAATTAAACAAAATAAACATCTGAAATATATGAGTTTGTATGTAATGTATGAATATAATATACAAGTTTCACTTTTTAAATGGAATTACTGAAATCAATCTACTTTTTCATGATATTCTAATTTTATGACCAGCACCTGTACATAGGACTACAGATAGCCACTGTGTTGTTTCGGAATATGATGTATACCACACTCAACATGGACAAAATGAGGAAGGAAACAGTATCCTCAGGAGATAGAAGGGAAATCACAGTATAGGCAAGCATGATAAAAGTAAAGGCTATCAGACAATCTCCAAGCGGGTTGATGTTCCTGTGACTGCAGCTGCACAGTTTATTCAGATTTTTTAGATCCTTTGTTACGTAGCCCAACCTATTTGGACATGCCCGCATGAGGAAAAATTTAGACAATTTAAAGAGATGGATGGTCCAATTTGGTCGTAATGGGAAACGACCAAAGAGGGCTCTATAGTTGAAAACATATAATAAAAACGTCAGAATGGTATTTTTGCCAAACTACATGTTGGTCGCTCTTTGAGTATCATCATTCATGTTCAGCCATTTTCATCAGTCTTTTTTTTTTTGAGGGGGGGATAATTCTGTCAAACCATTGTTGAAAATTAATGTCTAACTTTCATTTTTTTATTATTATTATTTTTATTTATTATTACCTTGGTCATATTTAAGTAATTTCTGTGACTATTGTGGGGGTTTTGTTTAAATCAAGTCCTAGCAAAATGCACATGCATCATTAAAGGGTATGTAAATATCTGCCTGTAAATATGTATATTTTGTTGTCTTTTAAATTTAGATTATCCCTAATTTTGGAATCACGATTGCGAGTAAATATGACTTGCTCACAGATTTCTCAAAGTCCTTCTTGACACAACTGGGATTCAGTTTCTATATATGTTGAGAAATCAAACCTGACATCTCTGGAGAGCTTTTTGAATTTTGGGGTTGTTTTCAGATGTTTTTTCTGCTATAGTTGCTACTGAATCAAATGTATACAGTTTTGTTTTAGGTTCTTTACTTTAAAGCCATATGCACCTAGCTCCAGTCAATTAGAGGATCTGTTCCGATTAAGTATTTTTAAAATCAGATTCAAAGTTCCATTTTAAAATACGTCTTTTCAATATGCCCACATTTCTGTATTCATATTGTTTTGTCTGAATGGTCTCATTTAAAATTCTAATCTCCAATTTTGTGTTATCATTAGATTTACACTATGTGGAAAATAATTGTAAATAAGTAAAATAAAAGTCTGAAAACAAGTTTGAGGATTTGATCTATAATCATCTGTTTCACTTTAAAAAAGTAAGATTTAAATTAATAAATGTTTCAATTATATTCACTTAATAAATATACAATAAGTATTTAATGAAGATAACTGTGTATTCACAGTACGCAGAGTGGCAGGCCTCTTATGGTTAAGTGTCTTGCCTAAGGGAGTACTAGTATGTACATACTTGGACAAGTTGCTGGTACTTAAAATTTGATAAAAGAAAAAACCACGATGGTCACAGAAGTCACTTGAATCTGACAAAATAAATATAGAGAAATCCAATGAAATGAGCGAATTAAAGTCAGACATTCCTTTTCAACAATGATTCAACAGAATGATAAAAACAACAACTCATAAAACATTTTAAATATGTTTAATTTGACCAATTACAGCTCCCTGAGGCCATCTTAGAATCAATAGAATATATATTCTGGCCCTTTTTGCATGGTTGGACAAGTTCCTTTTTTAGTCATTTTTCAATAACAGATCAAATTGAACAAATAAGTAATTGACTCATATAAACAATTTTTTTTCTTTCAAATATATTCATAAGGTATTTCAAGCACAGAGATAGATTTAACCTCAAATAATCATAAAGTCAACCTTGATATTGTGTTTTACAGTAAATTAACAAAAAAAAAGTGAAATGAAAGTAAATTGAGAAAGCAATGCCCAGCTATTGGTCATAAACAAGGCCACAGTACAAGATCAGATATTAGAGATAATTAATGAAATTCAACAAAATGTGATGTTGAGTTTGTTAGACATACAAATGGTGCTGCTTTCTGAGAGCTTAGGTGGAGAGTTTTTTAGGTTCATGCCCAAATCTCATAAATTTCCAAACTTTATTATAGCAGAACATCACTTAGCTTGAAATTGGAATTCTGTACGGTTAGAAAATTTTACAGCTAATTTTAAAGTAGATTTATGTAGATTTTTTTTTTCTCCATTTAGTAAATATTTCAGCCACACTACAGTAATTGAGCACAATACTACAAACAAATGTAGGTGTAATGCTTGATTTAAAGGAATTCACAATAACATGGATATCTACAGCTGCTCAGTGGTGCAGTGGGCAGCCCTGCTGCCCTTCAGAAAGACAGTTTCAGGTTTAAATCTCCACCTTTCTGCATGGAGTTTTCATGTTCTTCCTGAGCATGCGTGGGTCCTCTCCAGGTACTATGGCTTGCTCCCACAGTCCAAAAACATGACTGTTAGGTTAAGTGGCTTCTCTAAATTCTTCTTAGGTGTGAGTGTGTGAATGGTTGTTTGTCCTTTTTGTCTCATTATTGCCCTGCGATAGACTGGAAGCCTGTCCAGGGTGTACCCCACCTCTCGCCTGTAGACAGCTGGAGATAGGCAACAGCAGCTCTCATGGATGGATGGATGGATGGATGGATATCTACTGTACATATTGCACTGACCTCAGAAAGTAAGCCTGCTTTTATCTTCACATTTCGATTAAGGAAAATGTACAGTAAAATATAACACCAAAAAAACTATCAAGGCAACATTATTGGTTTTGCTCAAATATTTGATGAGATCTAAAACTTTTTTTCCCAATAAAAAAATATAACCATTTCCCTCAACTACTGTTCACAAACCAGTCTAAATCTGTGATGCTGAGCACTTCTCCTGTGCTGATTAGACACCACTATTTGTTCACAGGTGTGCCTTACTGTATACTGCCCACAATAAAAGGCTACTCTGATTTAGCTGATTTTATTTTATCAGGAAACACCTGTTCTAAATGATGGATCACATGGGTGTGTTAAAGGAGACACAATTTCATCAATTACTTTCTTTATTTGAGTCATATGAATCTCATAGGAGTCTGTTGAAAGTTTATTCTTAAATGTATTAAAAGTTTTACTAATCTGTCTTTCTTCTTCCAATTTGATTGGTTTTTGGTTTTTCGATTTCTTTGGCCAGTTTTGGTTGATTTATTTCTGATAATACTATTTAGTATTTCCCATTTCCCTTTTACATTGAAATATCCTATTTTACATTTTCTAAGGATACAAATTAACTTATATCTTTTATGACTTTGTTGATAATGCTTGGTACTCTAATTTATAAAATGTATAAGTTATACAAGCATTAGTTAAACCCTTCAAAATCCAAGGACATTTTAATGACAATTTTGTATAATTGGACAATGTTTAATCTATTCTTTAAGTGAGTGCTTTGTTGTGAGTGTTAAAAGGCTTTTTTTTTAAAAAAAAACCAAAAACTTTAACCAATATCCATTTTTAAGAAACCAAATCAAATAGAGAAATGCTACTTCCTTCTTTTTGTAAGCAGCCATAAAACTACTATTTCATGCAAAATGTGCTAAGATTAAATTTCACATATTGTTGATGAAGGATTGGATAACTTCAACATAAGAGAATTAACACTAATTGAACAATGTTCTGATCTGTTTATTTTGAATGAACAGAATTGAAGAGAGAAGAGAAGATAAATAGCATTCTTCTCCCGCAGTGGGAAAATACAGTTATGATGCAGGCAAAAACAGAGATAGACACACAACACTAATAATCTAACAAGAAAATAAATAAAGTTAAACTTTACAGTTGAAATACAAACATGTTTTCAGAAAGGAAAGAATACTGAGTTATTACTAATACAAAAATATATTTAGGCAAAAACGAGAACCTTTCAAATAAAAAGAAAAGAAAAGCATCAGCTGATATACAGAAATGGGTGATCAATATGGTTATAGAAAAAAAAAAAATCAACAGCTCCATACAGAAAAAACATGCAAATGGCATGAGGTGGATAGATGATCGCAGCATTATTTGAGTAAATAAAAGAAGCATATAATTTAATAGGCTACCAAACCATTTTCACACACTAGTGTAATTTTATAAGAATAAAAAACACTTTTCGTTGAAAAAGTAAGCCAATATTTACTGCTCTTTCATTTTTAGTTTGTTTTAGGTAATATGTTGGGACTTTTTGAAATTGATTCCTTTCAAAACCGTTCTTACAAAAGTATTTGTTACAAAAAGGAAAACCCCTTCCTGATTTTTTTGTTCTTTTTTTTCAGCCACAAAGCTAGTGCAATGTTAGGTCAAAACTACTATATGACCCAAAATAAAATGGTTTTGGTGCAGGCGTAATCTTACAGTACAGTACATCGTTGTTATTGCAGTTTATCACACATTTTTGTGTTTATTTTAAAACACAGTATAGGTAGATGCATGGTAGATATAGGTGGATAATCAAATTCTACGATATTCAGTTTGAACAAATGGAGCAAGTGACAACAAACACAAATTAACATAAAAATATTTGCATGGATCGGTGCACAACCTTTTAATCTTTGTTTTTGTTTAATATGAAAGGCAGGAAAATCCTAATTTATCAGTTTTTGCTTGTTGGGTTATATTTTGAAAGCAACTTCTCTTGTCTTTTTGTTCAGTACCATTTCCCATCAGTGATTGTGCCGAGAAAACATCCAAGGTACTCCTTACTGTGGTTAGAGTAGGGAATAACCTAAGATTTTGAAGAATTACAATCTCTTTCCTGTTTAAGAAAACAAAATGCAACTGGAAGGTAAAATATAATATAAGATATATAATATTGATCAATAAATGAAATATTTAATTAATTAAAAGGTCTACATATTGGAAAACATTTTCTACTAATCTACTATTTTGTTGTGTGCATTAAGACAAGTGACTCGTGATACTCAGTTCTTATATGTTTATTAGGATGTATTTAAAACAAGAATACAGAAAATTATATTTTCCAGAACTTCATATTTTTTTCAGGTTGCCAGGCTTCTGCTTGCTGTGAAATACTGTAGGTACATTGCTCATATATTACACTTTATTTAATTAATAAAGTCTTTGTTCTCAGACTTAATGAGAAAATCACATATAGCCTTTAAATTTAAGGACAACACATACAGTAGTTAAATCTGCAGAGCTCTGCTCCATCTTCGCTCCTCTCATTCGATATGACCAGCAATGAAAGCATGCTAAACACCCATCCACATTACTGTCCTCAGCCAGTCAACATCAAGTATAAATTTATGTCAATTCAAGTTCAGTTTAATTCAGTTTATTTATTTAGCACCAATTCATAACACAGGCCATCTTGAGGTTCTTTGCAGAAACACTTTAATCAGATCATACAGTTGGATTTGGACTTGGATTTAAAGCTCCACAAGGAGCACTGTGCAGGCGATAATATTGAAATAGAAGCAGTACCAGACTGCCTCTGGATGACAGCAGAGATAGCTGAGGTGTGAGACTATGTCCATAGGACAACAATTAATTGTATACTGCACAAATGTGGCCTTCATGGAAGAAAGCAATGTCTTAAATATATCCATAGAAATTATGGTTTAAAGTTTACTACAAGCTACATGGGCGACATAGCAAACATGTGGAAGAAAGTGATGTGGTCAGATGAAACCAAAATCTAATTTTCTGACAATAATGCAAAACGTTGTGTTTTGCCTTAAAACAACACAGCTCATCACACTGAACACACCATCTCCAATGTCAAAATGGTGGTGGCAGCATCATGGTCAGGGCCAGCGTTTCTTTAGCGGGAACAGAGACAATGGTTAAAATTGATGGAAAGATGGATTGAGCCAAATACAGGACCATTCTGGAAGAAAACCTGACCTCTCAGAGGTTGACAGGAGAACGGGGTCAGGGTCAGGCAATCAGAAACACAGGAATACTCAAAAACTTCTCACCACTGGCTCAAAATAATCTGGCACTGATGGGCTGGTTAAATAGAGACTGAAGCAGGTGGATCAGAGGAGCAGTAATGAGAGCTGGTCGGAAATAAGCAGGTGAATGAAATCAGTAATCAGACTAGACACCAGAGTCCTAACAGTTAGAATGGTCAAGTCAAAGTCCAGACCTGAATCCAATTGAGAATATGTGGAAATAACTCAAAACTGCTGTTCATAAACACTTTCTATCCAACCTGACTGAGCTCAAGCTGTTTGGCAGGAAGAATGGGCAAAGATTTCAGTGCCTCGATGTGCAAAATTGATAGAGACATAACCCCAGTGTTTTGCAGCTGTAATTGCAGCAAAATATGGCGTTACAAAATATTATGGAGGCTAATAACTTATGGAGGCTGAATAATTTTGCACACCCAATTCTTCAATTTGATTTGGTAAAAGCCTGAAATGTGGCAAAAGCTGGAAAAGTTAAAGGGGGGTGAATACTTTCACAAGGCACTGTATATCTATTTATTTTTTTGTCTGTTTTGTTTTAATAAAAGTGATGTGCTTGATATAAAACTAAACATACAACTTAAATGTTGAACTGAAGACATGCCCTGCAATGTTTAATTTCTTTAGCTCTGGTAGAGGAAAGGATTTCATAACAGCCTGTGAAAGAGTTATGGATATGCTTCCCTCTCCAACAGAGAACCACATTGCTTCAGCACTGGTGTTTAAAAAAAGCCTGGGCTTTGCCTCTTTGTGGGGGAGAAGGGGGTGGTTTGGACTTTCCACAGCACATAAGAGGGAGGAGTTTAGCAAGCTAAAAACTCTCCAGCATGACTGATAGTGTCAGAGCAGCGACTGCAGGATCAGGGTGAGTAGAACAATGATATACATCATCATAACTATCTGCATATCTGGCTACCTGGAAGGTCTCCATGACTCCTACCTTTTTTTAATGAGTAAATCGGCTATTTAACTGCAAGACTGTTTCCTAAAGATTTGTGTGTATCCGTTTTAATATGTGCTCTTACTGATGTTTATGAAAGTGTTCCTGTGTATTAATTAAATGGGATTTACTAAAATCCTTCAACTTCTAAAAGTACAAAACACCAACTGAAGTATGCCTATTCATGTGTAATAGTTGAAGAAAAATGTAGGACTAATGACACACATTCCGTTTAAATTGAAAACCATTCTGGCCCTTTCGATGTTACAGGTTTTTTTTTATGAGGATCCCAACTGACATTGAAATGGGAGTTGGATCAGACTCAGAACGGTCAAAGATGAGCAATGTCATGAATAAAACAGGAAGATCTATGGGAGTATGGATAAGGGGGAAACTCCAGAAGATAAAAAGACCCTCCAACCCTCAGGAAGGCATCAACACTTCCCCACTGATGGATGAACCCCAGTCATTATTTGTTACAGATTCTTCAACTGGTAAGAGATAAACATGCATGCTGCAGACATGAATACTAATCATAAGCCAGTAAAATCTTTGTCTATATTTATCCTGCTTCTTATCATCTAAAAAGACCCCAAATTAATTTATATTTTTTTGTCCTTTTTTAGCAATTCAAACTTTTGAGCAACTTTATGATGCAGAGTGCTTATTTGAGGCCAGCCTTGTGCTGATAGACAGAGAGAATCAGCTCCTTGGGAAGAAACCAGAGGAAGAAGCACAACAGATGGAAAAGATTACTGCAGATCGTAAAGTTCTGGAAAAAAAATTACTGCGCACTATACAGCAGAGTCTGTCTCTGAGTTTTGAACAGGTCCAAGACAAGGCTGCAGTCTCTGCTCTAACGATGGTTTTAACATCTGCTGTGAAGGCAATCTATCAAGAAGAAGAGCAGGATCTGCTTAGGAAACAGGAGAGGAGAGGAACACTAAGCAATTGGAAGACTCTCCATGATTCAACTCTTCATAGTTTAGTCGAGGACCGCATGGACAACCCCTCAGTACCCATTGCAGACCTAACTGGACAGTCGTCTATCCAGTTGGACATCCATGGTATGGGGAGACAGTTAAAGGAGGACCTGCTGATGGTGATCAATGTGCTAAAGAGCTGCTACCCACTTGATGCAAATATCTGTCAGTTTTATGCAAGGCTATATCACCAAAGCCTGAGTGCCAGACTCAGAAAGATTGTGGACTATGTTCTGGATGACAAAGACTGTACCTTCATCCTGCGTTGGGTCAATGAGTATTATCCAGGGTAAGGCATGAGCTTTATTTCCCTTTCAAACACCTCATTCCTTTACTTCTTTAAATGTATGATGCTTCAGTCCTTCTCACTGCATGATGATTGTTATGGCCAACATTCTCAGTCAGCATCCTTAGATGGTATTTGGATGCTTGCCTTTCTTGTGGGCGGTTGACCCTATATCTCACCTTTGTAATCCCTAAGCATAAACCTTTTAAAAAAATAGGATTAATTTGAAAAATTGTATTTCTTTAAATTTTATCAGGTGAAAATGTTATATAGACCAAATTGAACAGAACCTTTAAAATCCTTAATTTTTACGTATAAACATCATAAAACACCCAGGCCAAATCAGACACTAGTGTCCCTCTGCTGTTGAGTAGGAGAGTCTGATATTGAATTTACAGATTTGGTTGAATCAAATCTGTGCAGTGTTGTATTGCTGAACAAGTTTAGGTCAGTAAGTGGATGTTTGTCCTTGTTTCTAACTCAGGTTAACAAAACGGTAGAAATTTTGTATTTAAAGTTCTGCTCAGTGAAACTTGGGTCAGTCGATTTGAGCAACAGAGGATTTTTTGTTATGGTATTACATCTATTTTGTTTTATTTCCTCATTGTTTCAGAATCCTCAAAAATCCAGAACTTGCCAGTGAAATTGACACAACAGCTCTGGGTAAACTGTTACCTGACGAATTGCTGGATAACCTTGAAAAGCAGTACCTAGCGACACAACAGGTGACTTTATAGTGCAGGTTGTCCTCATCATGTTTCAATTATATAATCAGAGTTAAACATCAACCTTTTCCAACTAAAAAGAAGGTTAGTTAGACTTGATGATCTACATGTTTTAAACATACCACATGTTTGTGATTATTCAGAGTGAGCTGTCAACTTGTATGGACCGAGTTCTGGAGGAGGAAAAGAGAAAATGGATTGAAGGAGAGCAGCCGGCAATGGAGGATGGCAGCTTCACCAGTCCTCTGGCCTATGACATCATTCAGGTATATAAACTAAACAAACATGAAGCATGTTTACGTTGGCATATCTTACACACATGACATTAAATAATTTAATCATTAGAATATGATCTTCATATTGATTATGGCCCACTTGCAAAAAAAGGTTTGCTCATGCTCTCTGCTGAGCTGCAAACCTCTTTGAAGTGCAGTAGTTTGCTGTAGTTAATCAGTTTCTCATAAGCTCAAGTAAAACACAACATATAATGACCAAACGTCTGAGAGAAATATTAACTGATGAGGAAGAGGATGGAAAACTTTTACTTATTAAAGGTAAAATCAGATCAGCTAGGAATAAGTAATGGATCGTTGTGTTTACCTAAAATTAATGAGTTTGTGGTGATTTAATGAATTTAGCGTTACAATAATAATTTTTTATGCGATCACTGAGTCTGGGAGAGGCCATTTTTGCCCAAATATAGTAACACCTCACTCCTGACATCTTCCAGCAGTGACGTCACGGTGCGGTAAGCCAAGCGCCACTCTTCCAGCTTTACAAGCAAAATGTATCATACACACCTGCAATCAACAACAATTATTTTAGATTTCGAGAGGACTTCACCATTGAAATACGCAAGAGCTATAGTTAAAGTGACAATGCCCACATGCATGGCAGTTGGAAGTTGCAATGCAGCGGGTAAAAGATTTGCGATCTGCTACCACAGTTTCATCGTTTGATTGCCAACTATAAGATGAAGAATTTGCCATGGAACTTCTGGCCAGAATCACATAATATGTAGCCAACATTTTAAAGAAGAATGTTTTCAAGATGATTTGGATGATAGCGCGTTGTGACAAACACCAGATACAGCATTGGGACTTGCTCAACAGCCAATACCGCACTGTAACGTTACAAACCAGTAGGTGGCAGTAGTGTTCTTTGACAAACATGGATGTCTCCAGTAAAGCACATTCAAATGAAATTACTCTTAATTAAAAAACCTTATCATTTATTGAACAGTATGTAATAATTTTATATTTATAGTACTTTCAGAAGTTTGAATTCTGAATATGACTGGACTTCTGCTTTAAAAGCGACTTTCGTGCCTTGTCTTCACAACATAAACAATATAATCCTTCTTCCCCAACTAAGATACTGTTTTGTAAATTGTAGTTTTTGATTGTAACTACACCAATAAGATACAGCTGGGAAAATGTGACAACCCAAAAGTAGCCACCTAGATTCTTTCATGCACATTCACTGAATCACACTGTTGCATAATCAACAAATTTCCCTTTGTTTGTCCGACTTGGTTTGAATTAATTATCTTCAAGCTGCCAGACATGCCCCAGTGAACACTCACAGACTCTCACAGACAAACTGTAGTTAAACAGAGGAGTGTATTATTTCAAACAAGGCACAGACTTGTCCAAAATTCTAAAAAAAAAGAGGTTTTATTATTTTTCAAAAACAACCTGCCCTCTGCTTTTAGCTCTATTTATCACTCAAGGGCTAGTTCTGCTACAGAAATGCAACTCGGTCAGCATTGGACATAGTGTTTTCCCATAGCGCCCATAGTTTGGACATCAATTATCTAGTCAAGGAGCCTCCAGATTAACAGTCATAGGTTTAAGGAATATGTCCTTTAAAAGCAACCTAACATCTGTTGTTTAAAAGTAACCTTCGGTCCAGGAAGATTGTATGATCTAAGACCAATCACAGTGGGGGTTGGGAGTTTTTACAGGGTCCAAAAATTCCCTAAAAAGTAACAGGACTTTTCTGCAACCAGAAGAGTGAAGATTACAGCTACAACCAAGCAAATTTTAAAGATGTCCTTTTTTTAAATGTTCCAATTTGTCTTTAAAATTGCAACCACTGATTCAGAAAGAGCGTTAGATCTTAGATAAAGCTGCAGAAATATTTTGTTGATCTTCTGTGAAGGCAGAGGCAGAAACATTTGAGTGCCAAATGGAGATATTTTGTAGATAAATGTCAATATTATTTCCATTAAGCCCCGGTCTGAATATAACAGTATCCATTCTCAGAATGCTAGATCTGCAGCTTTATGACTGAGCAAAGCACCAAGGATTTTTGTTTATTTGCCCTTAAGAATGGATGCATTGCTGTAGGAAATACTTGGGGTGCTTGGGTAGTGTCACTGATAAATGTCCTCCTTCTGTTTTTAGTTCATCAATGGTATGGTTAAGGCAGCAGAAACAGTCACAGGAAGCCAACGACAGGCCCAGAAGATAACATGTCAACTCCCAGATCTGTTGCAGAGGTAAAACATTTGTTCTACTGTCCCTTATTTAATTTCAAATATGCCAAACGAACTCATCCAAACAAACATCTCCAGGTTTAAAGCTTTCCAAGAAGACATCATCAAACAAAACAAATTATACAGCAAGGCATACGTCAAAGCTATCCTGGGTTGTGTCGAACAGTTCGAGTATGTATCAAATTCACCCAAAAAAAAGAGATCTAATGTTTGTTAAAGGATCACAGCAGCAGATTACTTAGCTATATATTTCTTTTTGTTTGTTCTCCACAGAGATATTCTCCAGAGGAAAGGACATTTGTTTCCAGACAAAGTACAGAAAAACTGTTTGGCTGTTCTGACAGACATGAAACAATCTGGCCACACCTTTCTTTTAAGCTCTGTGCACAAGAACCTGAAGGTACAGTATGTTATTGAAATAAACACGGATATGTCTTTTTCATTTGTAAGTCTCTGTAAGTATTAAAATCCATCTGAATATACCCACCAGCCACAGTACCAGAAGCTGGGAACCAATGACTGGCTGAAAAAAACAACTCTGTTTGAGAAGCTACTGAACGACATGGAACATGAACTCCAGGACCTTGAGGGTATGACTCCGTCTTGTCACCAGGTAAAGAGAGACCAAACACAAAGCATAAACAAGGACTAATTTGTTGTATGGTAGCTGATGTGATGATTCGATTTTTTTAGGATGTGATTAGCAGGTTTCATGAGGAAGTGACCCGAGAATATGTGATGAGGCTCCTAAGAGGAGAAGTCAAACTGAAGGACAGAGGACATCAGCAGAAGGCCTTTATCACTGTGACAAAGAATGCAGAGAGTTTGCACGACCTCTTCAACAAACTGGTGAGAGTTAGTTATTTGAGCATTGCCATTAAAGCATATGGATGAGCATCAGCATCAAACTAGGATGCTAAACTAAACCTCAGAGGAAGAAGGAAAAAGCCTGGAAGAAAGGATTTTTTTTCTTACTGAAATTAGATTGTTTCTGCATATTATCAGAAAGTAATTTACACTGCCTAAAAATAAAGCAAAGGTGAAAAATTAGATTACAAAAAAGATTGCTGTTCTCTTGTCTCTATGCCACCAGTTCAATAGAGTCTACACCCTTACCCGATTAACTTAGTTATATATAAAATATCAGCAAGAGGAGCAGGAGGAACAAACATAAAGTAAAGAAAAGCAACTTCTTACTATCTTTGGGTAAGCTGCACCAACTCTGACCAGCTCCATCTGTGTCGGCTGGTGTGTCCTTGAGCGAGACACCTCACATTGCTTAGTGATGGTCAGGGGGCGCCATGGTGCCTGTGTATATCAACCCCACAAATGTTAGTGTTCCAAAGGCTAGCTGTGGCTACAATGTAGCTGGCCACTTTATGTAAATGGGTAAATGACGGAATCTCATGTCATTATTTTTGGAAGATCTTCTGATTTACCTGCCAATATCAAGGGCAAATACTCCTATTGTAAGAAATTTGCACCAGTTTTTTTTTTTTATGGTTTTCATTTTTTGTGTGTGTGTGTTCTCATTGAATGTAGCACATTAGCATTTGATGCTGACAACACAGATTACTTTTATTAATTAACTTATTATTAATTTGAGTATTTAAAGTCACAACCGGCAGAGTTTTAACACTCAGATATCACACATGTTGCTATATACCGTATTTTTACGACCATAAGGTGCACCATACTAAAAGGCGCAGTCTCAGTTATGTGTGTCATTTCTGTATTTAACACACACATAAGGCGCACCGGACTATAGGGCGCGGGTTTTATATACAGGTGCATGTCCTCTACAACGTTTAAATACCACTACTGCGTATTTAAAAATAGAGCGGGAGCAAAACTGAGTATGTTTGAGTTTTATTCTTGTATTTATTACAAAGTATTAATCAAACCTGGGAGCCGGCCGTGAGACAGACACATCGCTGATGACACAGAGCGCTGTGATCACTCCTCTTAAACAGTTTATTAATGCCTAAATTAACTTAAAATGCAGAAATCTGCCGGCAGAATATGTTCGCTTTTATTATCCTGGTGCCTGCAGTTTGGATTATTTTGATTAAAAACACCTACCACCGCGGTGAACCCGGAGGCGACCCGGCCAGAGGCTGCTGTTGAATTAAGTTTTCAGGTGGAAAAATAGAGCGGGAGCAAAACTGAGTATGATTGTGCTTTATTCATGTATTTATTACAAAGTATTAATCAAACCTGGGAGCTGGCCGTGAGACAGACACATTGCTGATGACACAGAGCGCTGTGATCACTCCTCTGAAACAGTTTATAACTAAAAAGTTAAAAGACTAATCTTTTAATAAAGCTCTGATCATTATTTTTTAAATTGCAATCTAAAGAGGCAAATATCTACGGCTATAATAAATAATCAACTTGACAACTTTCAAAATAGCTGTCCTTAGAACCATAACATTTTTGTATAAACATAATGCTTCAGTTTTTACTATATCACTACACTGAATATATGAACAAAAACAGAATCATCTCTCAATTCAGGTTAATGGCAGTAAAGACCAGCAAGTTTAACTTGTAGATTCACACAAAAGTAAAAATATGAAAATGGACAAAAACGAAACTAATGTAATAAAACTAGCTTTTGCAGACTGCATACATTTCAGATAATATCCTCAAATGCATTGCAAAAATATATGTGTTCTGTCTTTACAGGGGTCCAAGAAGGACTGGTTAAACGAAATCCTGAACAACATTGCAGAAGTGCTTAAGCTCCAAGATATCCCTGCTTTGCAAATCCAAATAGTTTCAATGGGACATGCTTATCCTGACCTCAGGTGAGCTTTGTTCTTTGTCCACAATTACTGTTATAAAATGTGCATATGGTCTACTATAACCACATGATTTTGTTGAGGATTTTTTTTTTTTTTTTTTTTTTTTGTGGTTTATCCAAACAGGATAAGATCTCTAGGTTAATAATAGGATAACGATAAAGCAGTGTTTATACAGAAGAACTTTGAGGATAAACAAGCCTATTTGGAGGAGCAGGAAAAGAGCTTTGACAGACTTTGAAAGTGTCTCTTTCTCGTTTCCTGTTTGCTGCGACATCAGTAATTGCTAGTATAGATGTTGTCTGCAGGTTGAATGTTTTTTCCATGAATAAGAATGATAATGGTTATCTCATATCATTAAATGGAATGAAAAGCAACTGTCAGGTTATTTTAAGGAGGAGAGAAGTTTCTGAAAGAAAAACATTATGGATTTCTTTTTTATATATATATCTATATAAAGATCTTTGTATATTTGAAGTACTCAGAGCTATTTCTCACACTTTATTCCTCTGCAGTGAAAGACACGTCTCGGCTTTGCTCAAACTCAAGACAAACGTCTCTAGGGAAGACAGACACAGGGTGAAGGCCACTCTTTCAGACGCTCGGGACGGATCCAACGAAGGAGTCGAGCGTCTGTATTTTTTCTCCAAAGTAGTAGTGAAATAAGCTGGTATTACTTATTTAAATGTTGATTGAGAAGTGCTTTGTGGATTGTTATTTATAAGTTCATACTCAATTATCTTTTCAGTGCTTTTGTTTAAACCATGTAGAAGCAAATCACACAGTTGGCAATATGCACACTGAAAGAAAACATTCTGTTAAAACTTTCAGTGTATCGGCTATTTTATTTTTTTAAGAGATGTCATGGGGTTCTTTGCAGTATAAATATAATAGCATCTGATTACAGAAAGGCCAAATATTCTGTATATGTTTGTCTTGTACATAAATAAATAATTTTATATTAAATCAGGGTGAAGCGGTTTATTTTTTGCAATTAAATTAGATTTATTTTTGGGCAAAGTTGTGTTTTGATCACAAAAAATCATTGAAAAATCGTATTGATTCTTGCGAATAGATATTTATTTTCTATTTCTGTTTGTATGGACATAAGTAATCAGAGGCTGTTTAAGGCAGCAGAGCAATCAGACATATTTATATTTCTTTCCAAATGTGTCACACTTTTCCCGTTTTTAGAAACCTCCGGGTTTCCCAAGGCTGTAGCTCACAATACTTGAGGAAACATTAGGCAATTAATCTTTTACGTCTTGCTACACTTCCACAGGTTGTGCTACAAGCAGGTCTTTTCAGCAATTCTTTGGCATAATTTATCCAATGGAAACAATCGCAATGCCCCCTTATCTCTGTAAGGAGTTTCCAGATTAATTACGCTGTCAGATAAACAGAACCTTTTCCTGAGGATCCAGGGAGGATGTGACTACAGAGGTTGTTGTGGTGAAATAGTGTTTGCACAGTGTCTAGGGAAGCTTACAAGCTATTTATGAAGGATAAAGGAAAGAGGAGGATAAACTCATTAACGATCTAAAGGAAACATGCTGCCAGTACCCTGATTCACTGGTTCGGTAATGCTGGAAATTCCCCAGTGCTTTCCTAGAACCATTGGTCAACATTTAGGTTTAATTATTATTGTAATTATTATGTCTGCTAGAGCTCATTATTTTCTTAGGTGAGAGTTAGGAGCAGTTCACATTATATCACATTTCCTTGCTATGTAGTTCTATGAGAGTGGTTATAGTAAATCCTTAATAATCTTCATACAGTTTAACTGAAATTGCAAATGGTTTCCCAATTTCTATTCCATATAGTATAGCTATGTGACATTTAAAATTAAATCATCAAAATGCAGTGTTAAAATGAAGAATTTCATATAATTCACACAATATACATGTTTTTAACAGAATGGGAAAGCAAACAGCAATAAACTTGAGAAATGCTAATACTATCAATCTAAGAGGGTTTATCAGGCCATTTCCAATTTATTCAATGTGTTAAAATTTTACAGTAAGAAAAATGATTGAAATAAAAAATGGTATTAAAGATTATATGGTTTGATAATTTAGATAAAAAGCATACATTTAGAATGAAAAAAGAACCACAACTAAGGCACAGTTTAATGGTGAGGAGTCATGTTATATAAGCACCAACCAAGAAAGTTGGGAACTAATGAAAAAAAATGCCAGACTTTGGAAATAAAGTCTTTATAGTTTTGTATGTGGTCTGGAGCAATGAAGCCAAAATTGTTGCAAGACATTTCACAATATTATGTGTAACCGAACTGCAATGTGCCTTAGACCCCTTCCTTGTGTACTTTCACAATGCCATATAAGAATGGCATAGTCTCCTCTTGATGCGGCTTATAGTGGTGAGAGTGATTGATGGCTTTCTCTCCTTCCAATTTCTAAAGATAATTCTTTCTTTTTGTAAATGCTTGTTGGTGCTTTTTTGCGGTCTTGTAGGTGTTTCCATCCATTAGTATTTGCATAATTTTATCATGTAGTCAGTTGTCTTGAGTACCTTTGTGCATCTACACTGCAAAAAATAGAAATCTCAAAAAGTTATTTTTTCTTAAAATAAGTGTGTTTTTCCTTGATTTGAGGAGGTAAGTAAGACACTTTGCCAATGGAACAAGACAATTTCCTTTTAAAATAAGAAAAAACTATTTTATCGTCTTATTTCAAGTAAATATTATCTAACTCTTATTTTAAGAGTGAAAATACTAATTCCATTGGCAAATCATCTTATTTACCTGCTCAAATTAAGGCTAAATATACTTATTTTAAGCCATTTTTTACTTATTTCTGGATTGTTTTTGCAGTGTACTTTTTTCTGTCGGCAAAATGGGTATGTCAAGAACCTTTCTGAGAAAGGTGGCAGCCATGTTTTCCTGTTTGTTGATGCTAAAAGTCTTGCACAAGAGACCCGCTTCTGTACCTTACAGCCTAAGTTCTGCCGTCTCTGCCATGTTGTTATTTCTGATGGCGGATATAGTGGCAGTGATCAGTTCTGTCCCTGGAAATTGGTTAGGGGTCAAAGAAAAGTTGAGATCCTTTAGCAAAACTTTCAGTTCTGACAAGGTGAGCTTTTATCAACAGAAACATGGGTGTGGTTCTTTTATTTACATGGAGGAAGGGGTTTACTACATTATCTATTTGCCATTAATGTCCACCTACCTCTAGACATTTTAGTGTTATTTCCTGCTCGTAAAAACAGTTTGATTTGGAAAAACTAGCAACATAAAATGGAGATAAAGATTTAAAAACTTAACCTCCCACAAGAGCAACACCTCTTTCCTGTAACTCTGGGAGGAGAAGAAAGAGGTGTTGAAATATAAATTGGTATCTGTGTGAAGATTTGGATTTTGAAGCACATTCATGAGCAGATGCATCCTGTACTCTGCTTTTAAACATCCACATCAAATGGAAGCTAAACCCGACGCTCTTGTTGTGGAAGTGAACACATTGGGTTTCAGGATATGAATAAATGGGCTTTTTTCTGTTTCTCAATTTCTCAAAAAAGGACTAATTTACTTGAGGTCCACCGCTCTGACCTCTGTCGTAACGAACTGCTTTGAATGCCTTGTGTTGTCCCACCTTCAATCCATTACACACCCATTTCTGGATTCCTGCAGTCAGCCCCCAGAGCCAAAGGGCTTAGACCTGGACTCCCAGGGCACCTACACCAGAATCATTTTTGTGGACCTCAATTTCGGCCTTCAATACCTTCATCCCCCTGGCCACACTACAGTATAAGCTCTCCAGGCTGAGTTTGCCTGACTCCACCTATAAGTAGACTTTTATGACAGACCACAAGCATAAGGTAGGAAAACATGTCTCTCACGCCACAAAAACAGCTTCTCTTCCCTTTTTGGTCTTTGTCTTACTTATACTCTACCATCATCTTTATTTAGAAAGTTGCACTATTTTTCTCGTCATATCTTCATATCATACTTATACAACAAGCATATTTTACAGTTACATATATATCCAAATATATTCATATTAACTGTATGTTTTTGATGGTGTGCAGGGCCTATCAACAAAGCAAATTCCTCTTATGTGTAACACAATAAAGATTTTCTAATTCTAATTCTGATCCACAAAATACCGGGCTCTAATTTGGAAAGTTTTCAGAGTAGTATGAGGAAAGTAATTTTAAAGCCATAAATTAAAAGTTGTTTTTTCTTTGTTCTTTGTGCATGTGCCTGGTTTAGCCAATATAGCTACAAAGAATTGATGTCCCAGAACTAGATGATAGCCCAACACTTTTGCTTTCAAAAGCAGAGCACTATGACTGTTGCCTTAACGTTCTGCTTGATACTTGTACATTAAGCTTTATTGAAAATTATTCGTAGGGTACAATCGTATACAGCAGTCACAGAAAGGGAGGTGAGAAAGAAAGAAAAGGTAAGAACTAAGGGGAGAGAGAGAAAGACAGGAAAGAGGGCATGAAGAGAGAGGAAATAAAACAAAACAGCAAAAATAGACAACACAGAAGATATGCAGTAACTCCTACAAGTCTGCTTCCATACCTGTATGCAGGGCCGTAACAACCATTGAGGACACTCCTTATTTTATTTATTTATATTATGGCAAGACTGTGAACTATAAACTAAAATAAGTTCTAGTGAACCTGACTGTAGGACAATGATCTTGGTCTCCCACAAAACTGCAAGGTGTTTTATATTTGAAGAGCCAATTACAGCATGACTATCTAATAAAAAAGTAGCTTGAGAGTTTGGGCATACGCGCTGAGCGTCATCATCTGTTGCTTTGGTAACTGCCACACAGACGCAGTTAGTGAATCCGTCAGTCATGGTGTAGGTTCCAGATCTGCTTTGGTGTTCAGATTTGCCCGGGGCCCGGCTCTTTCTTATGACGGCATCATTCTCTTCTTGAAATCTTAGCATATTATTAACTATATTTGCTATTATTTTACATTTCATCTAAAATATATTAAGTCGCCGAATGTAGAAAACTGACTAGTTGTCAGTCAATTTCAAGCAGTTGAATCAACATTCAATATGTAATCAAAATGTTAGCAATGTTGAACCGAATATTAAACATTTATTTTGGTTTGATTTCTCATTGTTGAATGTTCAACCTGTTTTATATTTCTGCCTAAAGCCTCTGTTACATTGATCCACATTCCCCTATCAGATACGGTTTACCCTAAATCTCTGCACTGCACATGCGGCAGAAAATGTGCATACTCGCTTAAGGTACTTAACAGCTACCCCATGCTCACACTACAAGAACAGGGGTGCTGTTCCTAGAACCGCGCTTTCCTGGACCCAGATGTCTGATGTATTTCCAGGGATTTCCAGGAATTTTGGGGTCACTGCCCCAAGTGCCCCAATGACCACGGGTACCACTGATGCCAAAGTATCATTTGTGAACTCCATAGCCTGCACAGCCTGGTCCTCGAGCAACACAAAGCATTTTTCTTCCACCTTTTAATTTTATTTAAACAGTCTAGTTATTATTTTAATGTCCTTCTAGAACCAATATCATTACATTTTTAATTATTTGCACTTCACGATTTCATCATAAGTACAAAATACTTCTCTTAATGTTTCAACATTTTAAGAGCACAGTATGAAGAAATATGATAATACCCACATGATATTCTTCTTCCCTTTGTGATTGTCTACGTTTTCCTGTCCACAGATGCAGCAGATATCTGTCATGGGTGAAAATGATTATAAACGAATTGTCCAGTTGGTGAACTTTAGTAAAACCCTGATTGCTTTAACTGATGTCATGTAATTGTTAGCTTTTACCAGAACTACTTTTGTTACCTACCTGATGCTTCCAGGAGAGTAACTTCTATCTGCCAACGTAGCATTTTCACATCCTTATGTCCAGCAGGAAAGACAGGCTATTGTCCCATCAGCACTTTCTCTACAAACTGAAATGCAAACCCCAAACACATTTATCCCAAAATATATC